ATGAAAAAGGAAAATATGTCTGGAGATGGAGAAAAGCCGAGGAGGAAGTGGAAAGCATGGCACACCCATACCCTCTGTCATTGATGAATATTTTATTAAGTTGTCTTCTACAAACTGGAGCAATTATCAACATAGTTATACTGATGTATAAAGAATGCAGCATGCCAAAAAAAAAAAGGGCAAGATAATGGGCCCAAAATAGTGGGATGGAATGTTATGTAGAGGGCGAATGCCCGTATGCCTAAAAGAGTCAGGCCCTATGGCTTCAAACTCCAACCTCTATCCTTCCACTTAAGGTTCACCTACTACTATCACCAACCAGGTGATCAAAAGTACGTCCAGTACTCCAAAATTATTCGGCAGCCTACCACTATTATCACCAACCAGGTGATCAAAAGTACGTCTAGTACTCCAAAATTATTCGGCAGCTTGTCGCTATTATCACCAACTAGGTGATCAAAAGTATGTCTAGTACTCCAAAATTATTCGGCAGCCTGCCGCTATTATCACCAACCAGGTGATCAAAAGTATGTCTAGTACTCCAAAATTATACATGAGCATCACTCATGTCAATCATACATAAACATTCATGAGCATCACTTATGTCAACACTCATGAGCATCACTCATGTCAATCAACATAAACATTCATGAGCATCACTTATATCAATCAGCTTCAAAAGCTTTATTTACAAAGCTCCGACTTCAAAAGCTTCATTTACAAAAGCTCCAACTTCAAAGCTTCACTTTCAAAGCTTCACCTACAAAGCTTCAGTGCATGGTATACAAAGATCACCTCCGAACAACCGCCACTTCGGTCCATTCATGGATTGAATTTGAAGTCTCCAGCCAACAGACTCTATTGACTGAAGACTTGGGGGACTACACTATGTATCATATATTGGGCTTCCGCAACTGGGTCTCATGAAAAATACTTGGGGGACTTAGCCCATTATTTATGTATTGATGAGCGAACCTTTATTATATAAAATGGACTCCCTCACTTTCATTAGAGAACACCCAGTATTCATGTATTGAGGAGCGAGCCCTTATTCTATAAAAGGGACTCCCTCACCATCATTAGAGAGCATCGCTGTCTGCTGAGCAACCGCTTCGCCGCAAGCATCAACTTTAGCCCATCATTTATGTATTGAGGAGTGAACCTTTATTCTATAAAAGGGACTCCCCCACCTTCAATGCCACAAGCCGAGCCAACCAAGGCAACATAAGCCACAAGCTAAGCAGCCTCGCAACATGTGCTACTTCTAGTTGAGCATCATTTCACATTGAGCACCGCCTCATGTCGAGTATCAGTTCTAGACGACATCTAGTTACTTAGGCCCACACATGGACTGAATTTCAAGTCTCCAGCCAAAAGACTCTCTTGACTAAAGACTTGGGGGATTACTGTTTGTACCATATTTAGGACCTCCGTATTTAGACCTCGTATAAATACTTGGGGACTCGAATGTAATTATGTAATAAATGAAGGGGGCAAATATGTAATAAGTGAGGAGCCTTTATTCTATAAAATGACTCCTCACTCTCCTCATTAGGGGGGTCAAGATTTAGGCCATGGGAAGAGAGAAAATAGGCTAGAAAGCATACTACCTCTAGCCTTCTTGTATATTCATTATTCAGAGTGAAACAATATCAACATCAGTGTGGATGTAACCCAAACATTGGGGTGAACCACGATACATCTTATGTTCTTTACTTTCTTGTAGATTCACGGTAGGATTTACGTTGTTCCAAGACCCCTCTGGTTTTGTGCATCAACAAAGTAGGTTCATTTCCGCTCACCAGCGCACTCTGATATTTAGGCACTCTTAGGTTTAAATTTATTCACATTTTTCCACATCATCACACTTTATGACTTCGTCACCTTTCAGGTGTCACCCAGCGCAGCTCAATTCGGAGTCCTAGTGGACATTCCGAGTCGAGGTGTGTCAAAAATCATTTGAACCAAAAGTTATTTAACTATATATGTAGCAATCCTTAATTGTATATATAACAAATAACGTATTCACCATGAACCATTCATTTATTTAAAATATTGAATGACTAAATAATAATAATTAAGAAGTTAAACAAATTTTTTTTAACAAACAATGTTATCTACACTAAGAAAGTGAGGGAGTATGTTAAGTACTTAAGTCTCACAATGGATTAACAATAATGGAGTTCAAATTCATTATTTTTGCGAGAATTGAACATAAGAACTCTTACTTACAAATAAAGAGAAATATCACTACACTATAATATTAAATGACAGAAGTTAAACAATTTCATGTAAAACTTTTAACAATAAAAGTACGCTATTTCAAAAGAATGAACTCAAGTACTAGATTAACTAATAGTCAGCCACTTAGTACAACGGTTTAATAGTATTCATCTTCAATTATAAGTGAGATATGTTAGGTTTGATTCTCGCCAAATGCGAAATTGAATCACATTAGTATTGCAAATCCATTATAAAGTTTAACCCACCTTTTCATCTTTTTAATGTAGATACTATTGGCTTTTAAAAAAAACAAAAAAAAAAACAAAAGTAGTAGTCAATTCGAAAGCTAGCTAGCTTGCATGAATGGCCCCGAACTAATCAATTAACCCGGACCATTGAAATTTGATTCAACGGCTACAAACAGGAAATCGTCTAAAAGTTATGATAATTATAATCGTTGAATTAATTTTCAATGACCCGAGATAATTGATTAGTAAGCTTAGTTCATTTGGATTCGGAGGGAATCCGATCCCTAATACTAATGGCCCGAATCTAGTAGTGGCTTCTTATTCCTTCCAACCGAACCCATAAAGAAAATGCAAAGGACCACGTCGCTGAATGCCCTACGTCCCTAACTGATTGACGAATAATTCAACGTGTCAACCACCCTCTTGCTGCAATCACCATCATGTCACGTGTATTTTATTCATTTGCACCCGTCACATTGATAATTCAAAGAAAAATATTGAGAGAATTTAAAAAAATATATATTTTGTAAATCGTGGCAGTAAATAAACCTCCATGATTTACAAATTTTGAAAGAAAAAAAAAAATCAACCGTTAACAAACAAATCATAGAATTTAAAAAGATGATCTTTCTAACCTTATGGAAATAAATATTTGCCAAATGTTTGGTATATTTAGGTGAACTGACCAAAAAACAAACACAAGTGTATATCTAGATGTTATGTGACAAACTCTAAAATAATTTATCTCGTTTTTTTTCACTTTCTATTTCTTAAGAGTAAAAATAAGTGTGTGAAAAACACCTGTCTTCAGTCATCAGTATTTTGACATTTGACAACACCCGCATGAACAATTCTTGGTGGCTCACTACGTACAAGTTTTAGATTCTCGCTAACAAAATTTGACATCTATTTTCATTTAGATGATTTCTACCAAATATGATAACATATTGTTTATTGGATAAGTCTGATGAGAATTAAGAGACAAAATTAGGCAGAGCTGTGCACAAAGTCAAAATTGAAAACCCAAATCGCTTCCCCATATTTGGCAACAATAGCAAGTTAATTTTGTCTCCATGAACCTATACCTTCTTTGGCAAGTAAATATGATTTACAATCAACACGTTATCTACTTTTCTTGTTAAGTTAAAATAAATTGGCCTTTTTTTTTTTGTGGTTCCTACTCAATCCCTGTGATGAAAAAGTTGATATTCTCCGCCTTATGGTGAAGTCCGTTAACAATCACAAAGACATTGTTATGTTTTTTTGACCAGGATTCTCTCTCATACTCTTTCTATCCTTTTTTCATCAATTCCTTTCTCACTCTCTATTTTGTCTTTCTTTTTGTATAAAAAAAATTAATATAAGATGTTGACGTGACTTAATTGTGATCATTTAAATAGAAGTGGAGGGAAGAAGAGGGAAAAAAAGAGGCCAGAGAATCATTCTCCATGTTTTTTAACCACTGGCGTGATTTAATGTTTCTTACATATTCAAAATATTAAATATATTCTTAAGCTAATCTGGCAAATATGTCATCATAAGTGGGCTCAACTAGTGCCACATCACAAACTTAACATTTTTTTTACAAATTCGACGGAATGTGACAAAAGTCGAGTTTTAAGAAATACAGTGGCGCAAATTTTGTTTCAGAGAACAAAGTGAGATTGAATTAAAGTTTTAAAGTTCATAGCAAAAAATAAGTTTATTTGTTTCCAAACGTTCATCGCATTTGTTCATCTAAACAAAATCTTACTTCCATTTTGCTTTTTCAGTCCATAGATTCTTCGTTTGTCAGTATATATTAAGGAAAAGAATTCTCGGAGATCTCATGATTATGATCGTTCATCGTACATGTTAAGGTAAAAAATTATTTAAAATTTAAAATTTAAAATTAAATATAAATAGTACCTAATGAAAACTGACTGCACAATGTATGATGAACGGTCACGATCACGGAATCTCCGAAATTACCAAAGATCCTTTTCCATGTATTAATTCCCCCCAACCTCCCCATTAAAGTATATGTGGTTAGTAGGGCACATTCAAGCGCTTTCTCAACCGCCCCATACTGCTCCACAACGACCCCCTCCCACTTTTGTCTTAAAGAGACAATACACATCTCCACACCAATGAATTATGTTAAGTTATAAGTAAGGTCTAGTGATAATTTTTTATTTTATTTTATGAGTTTTACGTTCTATTGTCTTTAAATGACAAATTCGATACTAATAATAAAGTACGGTTGAGTGATAGTTTTCTTCTGAAAAATTTCATGTTTGATTCACTTTAAATAAAGAGTCCGATACTTAATTATTGTTTGTTTATAAGTGCGGTCCAGTGATAATCTTCTTTTAAAAAGTCTAAGATTCAATTGTCTTTTGATAATGAGTTGGATAGATATAATAAGTGGTAAGGTAATCTTCTAAAAGAATTTAGATTATATTTTCTTTAAATAACAAGTACGATACTTAATTATTATCGGATTGAAAAACCCGTCCCCATTACTATTTATAAAAATGAAAAACAAATTACGTATTTTAATTTATGATACGTACTTCAACTGTCAACATATAGTTTTAGTTATCAGCTAGGCGTCTGCAATCGTTACGCCCAAGGGGAAAAAGGGCCTATTTTTTTTCCATGTTCGAAACCCGTCTGGGTGGTATCAACGATCAGGTGGCCTTGTCTATTTTCTCAGTGCTCGGAATCATTACTTTTTTATTGAGATCTGCACATCCTCAAGAATTCAGTATTCAAATTCTGGGTTCTCTGCAGACTCCACAGTTGTGAACTGGGCAGCAACTGCAACTGGTAGGAGAGCTTCCTGTGAGTCCAAGTTTTAAACTTTTGATTCAATGTTTTTATTTTCTTTTTTCGTTTTTGTTATCTATGATGCTGTTTATGGATTATTTTTATTTATTTATGAATTTCATGGTAATTGGATTCTTTTAGGCTCAAGAATTAGTGTATCTGTTTTATTCTGCACCCAGCTGTTCAAAACTGAATTTTTGTTGTTGTGAATATTTGAGTGTTTTGACACGAGCGATATTTTACATTAAATTCATTTAAACTACGGGAAATAGAATTTGAACTTTGGGGTGCGGAGAACGCACTACTCTAACCAACTTGGCTAAAGCCAATAAGAAAAACCTGTATTTGGGATAGCTGTTTGTGTCTTTTTTTTTGGCACATATATGGATTTAGAGGTTTATTCCTGATTATTACAGACTCTAATTTTTGTTTTGAATATAATTAGTTAAGGGGTTGAAACTGCAAAATATTGGGAATATCTGGCTTGATTGTTAGCATAAGTTTCTGAGAGAAGGATCTTCCCAGTTTCTTGGAGATGCGAACATGGAGAAACCGCGAAAGATCACTCAGTACAGGGAGAGGCTGGACAGAACACTAGCATCTCCTAGTCTAACTGATAAGGAAGCATTGAAAACCCTCGTCAAGAATCAGCTGATTCGTTCCAAGGAAAATGAAAATGAAGGTTGTTAGTTCTTAACAACTTCCCTTTCGAGTTTGACATTTTTTAGTACGGCACCAATCATGCACCACCAATATCTTAAGATAGTGTAAACAAATATGTGATCACTTAATAATGTTTAGATTTATGGCTCCTGCAGGATGCAGTGAGAATGAGGTTGAAGAAAAGACGGCTGAAGTATCCAATTTACTGGACATGTTAAGAAGTGCTTCCTTTGTTGATGACAAGGGATTGAATACCCGTGAGACCACAACCCAACCCGAATGGAAAGTATGTTATCGAATCTGCATTATGTTCTTCAAATCCTGCTTTGTCCCTCATGTCCTCGATTATAAATTTGCTTCTGTAGAATCAATTCTCTGCGTTTTAATAATTGAGAGATTTAAGGCTATTGATTTTTGTTGTCATGCACAAGGGGAAAGAGGTTTTGACTCTCTTTGTGTACTACTTCTAAAACTTAACATCATCATGAACATTGTAAAGTTACAATTTTTTACCTTCGCTTGTTTGAAAAATGGTTTGTATTGTTGTTAAAATCTAATGCAATTCATTTTTAGAAGAAGGGGGGGGGGGGGGGCGGTCTTCAATTGGGATGTTGATCAGTAGTCGTTAAATGTTATAATGATTATTAAGTTTTTCTATTCTTTAATCGACAAGGTGTTGTGACCCCTATATCATGACACTTACGTTAAAAATATACTTCTGTTACAGTTAAAACAGGATAATGAAGAGTTCCGTGTGATGTATCGTGAGGGGATTGAAGGCAGTCCCTTTCATACATTACTTGCTGAAGGCTATGTAGACGGGCCTGTAGATGTCTGTAAGTGAAATTAAAATACTTGAAAGTTCATATGCCTCAACAATATTGAGCTTTAAAAAAGTCGAGACTAACAAGGTTCCTTTTGTTGTAGGTTTATGCATCTCGTGGGAGTCAGATCTTTACAAGAAATGGTAAGTCATTTCAGTCACTGCATGCGCACTTGATTTATGCATATATTTGTAATGAGATATGGTCTGCTTGATGGAGTTTATATCGAAAAAGTTCTTTTCTGTTTTGTCCTACACTTCTTTCATCAATAATTTATAGTGCTTCTACCTGAGAGAAGTGGGCTGCAATTTCGCATCAAGGGTGTCGTTAAGGAGCTAAATGACTATGTACTGAAGGGATTTAACTCAACTTAGACAATAAATGGGTTTATTTTAACTTCCTCCAGGTGGCCTCAGTCTACAGTTCCAACTTTCAAAGTCCTCTCTACCAAATGTCTGCAGAAGGTCCGGATCGGTGAACAGATATCTTTAGTGAGGTTTGTCTAAGACAAAACATAAAACTATATCATGTGTTAAAAATTTCTTATTTGATTTCTTTCACTTTCAAGAATATTTCCATATGAAATGCTGACTTTTGTTATATTTTTGGAAGAAAGGATGAAAATTCCATGGCCACTTTCACCTAGGGAGGCTGCTATGCACTATTTTATGTTTGAGTACTTCCAAGATGATCTGATTGTTGTGCTCTTGAAATCGGTAGGTAACCGAAAGTCTTTTGGCTTCAATTTTATTTTGGTACCCACATTCCCAATACTCCTGCAATTCCAAAATAGAAACCTGAATAAACTGATTTATCACAAATGTCGTCTCAGATCCCCGACTTGGAAAGCATTGATGGTACTCATTGTCCCAGCAATGAGGCTACTGCTGGAGCAAAGGATGCTGTAAGGATAGATTTGGTGGGTGGCTTTGCTTTGCAGAAGGTTACCAACGAAAGAAGTTACTTTCGGTAAGCTATGGCTACTTGAATGTAATATCTGTTGACTTTGTTTTGTGGTTTGTAATTAAAGCTTTGAACAATTTTTATTATTGTAGGACAATAGCAAGTATGGATATAAAGATGGATTTTGTCCCGCCATCCCTTATAAATTTTATCTCGAGGCAGCTCATTGGCAGTGGTTTCAAACTCTATCAAAAGGTTATATGTTTCGTATTTAAGTATAAAACGATGCAGCTAAAGATTAGACATATGGAACAAAGTATATACTCAGAGATATTTCGAAAAGGAAGGGGAGGGTAGAGAAATTTCTTGAGGTTGCCTGTTGGGCGTTCTGCCGAAACTGCATGCAAGCATCCCTTCACTATGGGACTCTATTTTTGCCACTTTTCTTCACATTTTCCAATGCTTAACACTGTTACAAACTTACAGGTAGTGTCTTCTAAGCTTAACTGCAACGAAGATTACAGTAAGGTCTTGAGTGGCCCGCTGTACTCTCGGATACGTGAAGCTCTTTATTCACATAATGAATCAAATGGGGCTTTGGAAGAAAACAAGCTACACAGTGACGCATTCAGTCTCTTGGAAGAACATCTGGCAAAAGATAAGACAGATGAGAGTTTGGTGGGTGTGGATCAGAAAGTCGATAATGATGACCCTGCAATTGAAGCTGCTCCAGATGATGCACAAGTTAACCTTGCAAGTGAAGCTGCTTCAGAAGTTGCACAAGTTATAGGTGGAAGCTCATTTGGTGAGATTGAGGAGGTAGAGAGCGAAGAAAGCAGGCAGTTTGAGGTTCAAACACCCAATAGAGTTGCTGAAAGGGATCGTGTAAATGGAAAGAGAAATGTTATGATCAGTTCTGAAGTGGAACAAGCTCTCAAAACATTAGAAAAGGTAATTTATAAGGTTCGGAAATGGATCGAATGCTCAAATTCAGTCCTCTTCTGGCTTCACCAATGGAATCCCCCCAAAGGAAAATGATGTAGGTAACCCAAAATATTTAGAAGGTGGAGTTTGCGGAAGTGGTGAACATGTTCTTGAAGTATCTAAAGAAGTCGAGACGACTTTGCCCAAGTCCGCAAGGAATAGGTCTGTCGTTCACAACTTAAGATAATTGTGTCAATAATACTGATCATACTTTCTTGTTTGGGGTCCAAATCATACACCGCATAATGTTAGCTCAGAAACTTATTCCTTAAACATATTTTATCGCTTCATTTAGCGTTAAGACAAGACACCATGATCAATCTTTTACTTTCTTGTTTTTATCTAGGATCCAAAAGGTTAACCTATTTTTATTCAACTTATGTTGCAGTAATGCAGGGTCGAATTCCTTGTCGAAGGATGTTCACCCTAACAGAATAGTACCTACTTCCCTAGAGCAGGAACTTTCGATTTCTTATGACAGTAACCAGGTTGCATTGCGTTCCTCCAAGGACGGAACTGCAGAGGTACCTGTTGTGGATCATATTATGCATCGAACAGACCAGATGAACTCCGAGACAAACGGTGATCATGGAAGTAGCCCTAGTAGAACAACGAAGTCGAGGCAGCATGGAGCGCAACGGTTCTGTTGCTTCAGCATCAGTTAAACACGCAGATTTTTAAGAGGTGGCAAGAGGCTGAAATTTGAAAGAGTGGAATTTTGTTGAAGTCACTATGGTTTTAAGCCTGGTAGATGACTTGTAGAGTGGGTTTGTGATTGTAACATGATACTTATGAGTCATGAGAATAACTGATATGACGCTCGAAGATATAATATACTGTTTTTAGGAGGTTGATGTACAATATTTTAGAATAATCATCTACAATAATGTTTTATTAATGCAACTCCATTTGCCATGTCTTACGTTCCAAAAAATAACTCCAATGAAAGGATACACGTCCGTGACATGTAAGTTTTCCTCTGCCAAAAGTGGCATATATTAGTTTTGCTCAACGAAGGTGACAATCATTTGTGACATGTAAGTTTGTTTCCACATTACTTCAGCCTTGAGGAAACACATGCCAAGTGACTTCTCTTTCTTTGTTGGAGTTCCCTAGCCCCCAAGCCATATGAGATCTGATGTTCACACACTTAAGGAATCATTGGTAACCATTTCGTTTTCAGTTTTTGTTTAGGATGCCCTAAATTCAACACTCGTGTATAATAAAGGTACCGTTTGGTATGTGGGACGAGACGGGACTGGACGGAACGGGACGAGCCGTTCCGTCCCACGTTTGGTGCGCCTAAAAACTGTGGAACGGGTTGTCTCATGGGACGAAATTTGGCTGATTTTTCGTTTCACCTCTTCCCCTTAGAACGACCCGTTCCACATCTGTGAAACACAAATTTATAACATTTTATGACAAAATTTCTCCTTATCTTTTTCAATATTTACATCGTCTGTTCCATCTCGTCCCGTCCCATCCCATCCTGTTCCGTCCCGTCTGTGTACCAAACGGTAAGGGAACAACCTTAAAAACCTTGGGCCTAAAATCATCTCCAAAAATCGAGATTACCCTTTTTACCCTTCTCATTCAGCCAAATTCCCGCTATGTCCCCAAGAAATCTGCAGTTTCTAACTTCAACTCACTTAGGGCTGGTTTGGTATTGCTGTGCTTTGAAAAAAAGCTGCTGTGAGAATAAGCGGCTGTGCTATGAGAATAAGCGGCTGTGAAATAAAGCCAGTAGAGTGTTTGGTAAACTTTTTTGTGAAAGTGCTTTTGGAAAAAAAAAAAAAGCAGGATGATAGTGTGTCTTTTCATTAAATGAGCACTGTAGCTCCGTGTGCTTTGAAAAAACTGGCTTTTTTTCAAAGCAGCAAATAGCAGCTTCAGCTTTTCCTTTGATTTTCAGCTTATTCTCACAGCAGCTTCCAAAATAAGCCCTTTTTTTTCAGTTTACCAAACACAAAAATAACCCTCAACTTTTTTTCACAGTGGCTTTTTTTAAAATCACCTCAATCCCAAACGGGCCTTAAACCCCTTGGAAGTTGCATTCGAACAGGTCTTGTATGCTCCAAAGAATGTCGAATAAGAAGCTGCTCGCTCCTCTCTCCGCCATTCTCCGGCGAACCCTAACTCCGACGACCACTCTTTTCACCTTCAATTCCTCAAGAAATTTCCAATCCCCCGCTTTTTTCTCACCCAAAGTAGAAACGGACCGCCGCCTTTTCGCCTTGGGCAGATTTGATTTTCCCGGGGATCACAGAATTCCCGGGAAATGTTTCGTCAGCTCCCAATCGGCGGAGGAAGCCGACGCTAAGTGCTGGAACTGCAGTGCCTCCGGGGCCGATACGGTGCCGTTTCTATTGTGCTCGTCTTGTCGGTGCATTCAGCCCGTGGATCAGTCGTTGGATTACTTTCAGATATTTGGACTGTAAGTAATTAAGGCTTTAACAATTACGTTTTCTCTCCCTTTGTGGTTTCTGTTTGTTTGGTTGCTGAGAAAATGAGAGAAAGGTAGAAAGAAAGTGAAAATTTTGAACCTTTTTTATTTCTTTTTGGTACAAGAGATATTGGGGTAGGGGAATAATCAAATTCGGGACCTCGGGTGCATGCACGAATGCTGTTAACCAACTGAGCTACAAGCCCCGGTGAACGTTTAATGGTTACAAATTGCTAGTTTCTGTTCTACTTAATTGAGCATTTCCAACAAATTGGAAGTATAAATTTTGAAGATCTTAGCTAGTGGTTACAGTGATTTGTTTTCAATTTTTTTGTTCAAATTAAAATTAACAGGGAGAGAAAGTATGATAGCAAAGTGGATGATCTGGAGGGGAAGTATAAAGCCTGGCAGAAAAAACTGCACCCTGATCTTGTTCATACGAAATCAGAGGTATTTCTTTTACATATCTTCACTTTCATCAAATGGCAAATGTAAAAGATAATACTTTCCGGCTATGGTAAATGTAATTTTTTTTTAATGTTTATGGTTTTAGAAGGAAAGAGAGTATGCTGCAGAACAGTCTGCTCGGGTGATTGATGCATACCGCACGCTTAGCCAGCCCTTGGCAAGGGCAATCTACATGGTAACTGTGCTTTTTGCCTATGAGGTTTTCATTTGATGCATTTTTCTTGTGTTCAGACCAATGTTCTGAGAACTGGACTGGTTTAGTAGAAAAGGATATAAGTCAAATGTGATTACTTGGTACAGATACAAATCAATCTCGACCCTGATATTATTTATAAACGCTTATATGTGTGTGCGCATTAAGTGAAATGAATATTTACAAGTCCTGAGGGAAAGGGTGCACTTGGGTGTTGTGACCATGATACAAAGGTTCATGACGTGTGTAGTTAAAGCATGGATGACTTCACATTCTTCATTTACAACAGTGTCATGACTCATGATATAAGCCTATTATTCAATAGGTCACATTTTGAATCTGCGTGTATATTATCACTTCCCTCTGTGGGTAGGTTTCCTTAACTGCATTTTGGTTTCATGGTCCCATGATTCAAAAGATATAGTTTATTAATGTTTGCTTTTCATATTCTACAAGTTTTGAATTAAATTGTGCTATTTTGTTTTCAGCTGAAGCTTGAAGGTGTGGATGTTGATGAAGAAGAGACACTTTCAGAATCAGACTTGCTAACTGAGGTAATTTGAAAAAGTTGAAATTGTTGTATTTATGCAATCTATTATCTCCTTACAATTTTACCCCTAATCTAAAGTGTAGTGATATATTGATTGAAAAAAATGATAAGAGTTTATTGCTCTAAGCTAGATGGATAATTTGACATGTTTGGAGTGCACATGTTTGGGACAAATATCATCCGTAAGAAAATTTTGTAATCTAGTTGAAGCTTGTGTCATAAAGTTTTACAGTTGCGATGGTTTATGGTCGGATGTGTTTATAAATTTCTATTCTAGAATTATTTTCCTTCTAGAAATGAATTTGTGTTGCTAATATTGGAGGAAGCATAGTTCCTATAGAAGTTTTGGAGTCACCGAGTTGTTTTTCTTTTGTTTTGATGGATATGCTGAAGTTAAGGGTCATTCAGTGAACATTAATTTGGTTTTCTAATACCTTCTGGTTCGGAAAGTTCAGATTTTGGAAATCAGGGAAGCTGTTGAAGAGGCTGCTGACTCTCAGGCTTTGGATGAGATTCAATCTCAGGTATGAACCTAGACCTTTTTAATACATGTGGGAATAATTAGCAAGAAGCATGACAATTCTTCTCACAAATCGCTTGCAGTCTAATTTGTAGAGCAATTTCCTAGATGTAGTTCTCAAAACTATTACACATTGAAATTGCCGAAAGATCAAAAGTTAAGTGAAGGACTAAGCTACTAAGGGGCCTTCAATGTGATTCTTTAGATTCGACCAAGATTAATTAGTGTTTTATGATCTTTTGAGAGGGGGTCTTATTGTAACGGTTCTGTGTTTACTCAAGTTCCCATGATGAAGAGCTTGCATATTTACCTTTTTAATTCACCTCTTTTTTAATAAAAATATGCATGATGCCAACTTTATTTCCTTTTTATTCGTTTATGTTTTATGAACTCACCTCTGTTCTTGCTCATCTAGATGAAAGAGAAACTAAAGCATTGGTCCGATGCTTTTGCAAACGCATTTCATAGCCGCAACTTTGGAGAAGCTCTAAAAGCTATCCGGAGAATGACTTACTATGAGCGTGTAAATGAAAGTGTTGTAAAGAAGCAGTAATAAAGGTACCCTACGCAACTACTTAGCTAAATCATCAATGTTCAATAGACAAAATGAGTGTAGGAGTCAACATATAGGGCAGAGGGTGTAGAATCATATCTGTGTTCAAGAACGTGCCTCTGGGAAAAGGGCTCTGTTCTATTCAATGCACATTTGTTTGGTTTTCTCTTTGGCATGGTTATGCACAAGAACACACACGCAGACAGAGACCTCAAGGGTATTGACCCAGAAACCTCACTTTTGACGGGATTATGGGAGAATGGAGGGTACCATTTGCTTTATATAGTTATGCCGTCATCCTGTAATGTCAAGTAGTAAATTGAATATTTATTTGAAAAGATTGGATCTATAGTTTTTGTTGTTAACATATGAACAGATGGATAATGCTAATGACACTATCATCTGGCAGCTTTCAGGCTCTTAGGATCTCAAACAGTGGTTCTTGAGCAAACAAAGTTTAACTGCATGATTTGACAAGAAGATTTCGTGACAAAGTGTGAGTACGTTAAATTTAGGAAATGCTTGATTTTTTTGGCCTATCACATTTTAATGAAATCTGTAACTTGAGACTAGATTGTTCCCCTTTTTACAGCCAGGTTTTACTTGAAGAGATTTTTCCGGCTTACTTTCGATATAAATTAAATGTTGGAAATACGAAGATTGGGCTGAGATTTGTTGGAGCTGCGAATATTTTTCCATCGTTCGATTCTGTAATCTTCTGAAGATGGTTCAGAGGTTGCTCTTCATAATATGATGTTGAATAAATTGTCGTTTGTATTAAATTTATGGCAGTAATAATCACTCATGCTTTTTACTGTTGTAAATTTCTAAACCGCGTCTGTCGAATTTACTTGAGTTCAGTGGCAGTAATTACTTTGTAAGCATGCTGAGTTCATCGCATATGGTATGTTCCTAGTCCAAAGTGTTGTTTGCCTGATTCGTGTCCCTGAATTCTGCACAAGTGAAAGAGGAATCGAAATTCGAAACCCATATGGATAATAGCGTTAACTGTTTCGGGATTAGTTTTGACGTCCACTTCGTGAATATAAATCAAAAGATTCGAATACAAATTCTAGGAAAACTCATGAAGAACTAGAAGACAATGCCGTTCCTGAGGCGGCCGATAGCCCTTCAAGAAAGAAAATTTCTTGTTTCTCAAGCAAGCAGCGAAACACCAGTTCATCGGAACCCCGAAAACCACATCGATCCAGGAGACGCAGTTTATTAGGCTTTGATGGTTGAGCGACTGTTGCAAAACGATCAATCTTGTACTAGTTTGAGAAGCGGAAATGGATAATCTTGCAGGTTGAGCTCCAACACATGTGAGGAAGAAACCAGCGGATATGATGATAATTAACTTCTAATATATTGAGATTTCAAATGTAACCATAAAAGCGCTCGTGGCCTAATGTATAAGACATTTGACTTCTAATGTAACCACAAAAGCGCTCGTGGCCTAATGGATAAGGCATTTGACTTCTAATCAAAGGATTGTGGGTTCGAGTCCCACCGAGCGTGCTTTTGTTTTTTTTTATTTATTATTTTTTTTCTTTTGGGTCAAATGTGTGAAATTTATTGTCAACAAACAACTAAGTACAAGAGGTCCAAAACAAGTGAAACACAATAAAAAACAAAGGGATCCAAAGTTACACAACACAGGGCCCAACACACTAGTTGGAGCCCAAAAACTAACACAGCACAAACAAAGCACCTTAGTCTTCTGCAGACGCCACCACAGTGTACACAGAGCATCATCGCCAGTGCAAACCAACACCCCGTACCGCCGTCAAGCATCCACCTCCTAGAAACGAAGAAGATGGTGGCTCCTACAACTTGCAACAACCACCATGCCGATCGCAACCAAAATATGAAAGAAGCCGGTGGAGAACCCACCGACAACAGTGCCAATGAAGGCAAGCAAATGGAAGGTGGTGGTGTGTACACCTGAGTAAAAACTCTACGCACCTTCCAAAAAAACCACAGCCGAGTGCTGTGAGAAAAGAGATTGCAAATCGGAAAGAGGAAGCAACAAGAAGGGTTGGAGCCAACCCGAAGTGGGACTAGAAAAAATTGGAAAAACAGAGTGAGAGGGATAGATGCGAGCCATGGAATTGGAAGGAGAACGGAGGTGAGGGTAGATCGAAAATGGAAAAAGGGTGGAAGAGCAAGGCGGATTGGAAAAGTAGGAAAAGTTAGTCTTATACTTACTTTAAAAGAAAGCATAAGAACAACGGTTACTGCATCACCAATGCTATATACGTACGTACTTTTATCGGTATTTACGTGTCATTTTATAATTGATTATCGTGCTTCTGAAATCACTGTACATACTTATCTTTAAAAAAAAGACTAATTGTTTAACTACATCATCAATGTAATATATATACTGTTAATGATAATTACGTGTCATTTCATTATTGTCGTATCACGCTTTTGAAATCATTGTACTTACTTAACTCAAAAAAAGTATAACAAAAAGGATTTCACTTCGTCATCAATGCGATATACGTATATACCGTTAACGGTAACTATATGTTGTTTCACTTTTGACGTATTACTTATTGTGTGTGATTAAAAAACATTTCCTAAATGTGCACCAGAGAAAGAATCGTTTTCGCTTTCCTAGAACATAAGTCATTCTACTTGTTTTGCATTCTTGGTGGGCCAAAACATCCTTTCCAATCAGGTCCACAATGGCCCAGTTCAAGCCCAACAAGCCGCCTTGGAGCCCAAGTAAAGCATCGCAAATATTTCTGGAGTTCGCGAGAACAGTCACAGAAGGAAAGAGAAAGATGGGGTGGGTGTGGAGGGACGACGAGGATGATGACAACAATTCAACGGCGATTGACATAAATCCTAGATCGGACGGCGATCGATGCTTGACGAGGAAGGTGGTGAAGATGCAGTGCAAGACTGAGGAGGTGGAGCCTGGAAAGTTCGTCAGGAAGTGCGAGAAGACCGAGCAGCTTCTCAGGGACTGCGCCGGCCGGTAAATCCCAATCTCTCTCATTCTCTCTATCGATTTCTCCATTTCCCTAAGACCCAATGGCAAATTGGGAATATTTTATCTAGGGTTTCCGTGAATTGTTGGAAATTGCCTGTTGGTGTCACTTTGATTTTGTCATATCCATCTTAATTTTGGGATTTTTTTTTAAAAAAAATTTTATTTGTTGGGGTGTTATTATTGGGCTTATGGCTTAGGATAGAAATTGTCGAGAATCATAACGTTATGATATTTGATCGATTGTTGTAGGAAATGTTGGTTTTTCTGTAATTTTCTTTAGAACACGATTCGACATTGAATCCAATTTGTACAGTGTTTAAATTAAGAAAAATATATATGGAAATACGAGACAAGAGAGATGAGAATATGCCGCGTCTTTAATCTTTATGCATTCGTTTATAAATTGTTCGAGTGCACGTTGTTTACAGTTCAGTGAAGTATATATAGCGTGTGGTTAATAAGAGCGTGTTAATAAGAGCGATGAATAAGACGTCTGATTAGATTGTATTGATTCTGCATACAGAAAGAGTTGCGGCTTTGATTTGTATTACATCAGATGAATTGTGAATATAGTTAAAGTTAGTTTTGTGGTTATGCAAAATAGGTTCTTGTTAGAGCATCAGTATCAGTTTCAGCACTTCTTTATGCTATTTGTTCCTTGATAAATTGTTTGAGATTAATTTGAACGATGCCCCGAAAACATCAACAAGTATGCTTGTAGAATTGGTTTAGCAGCTGGTAAAACGTTTTATGCTTGTGCGAAAAAAGTTACATTGACATTAGAGCTGAACACTATAATTGTTTGGTATGGGGCTGAATGTGGTAAAACATTTGTAAGCACCATATCTCCGAATGTCTTTCGCAGTCTTTGGGACGTAATTGGAGCTATCTAGTGCTGCAGTGCATAAAAAAGAACCTTTTCGTTTTCTTCCCTTGTTTGAGTATGGGCGGTTTCTATGTTGCGATAACATTGACCAATGTAGAGCCAATTGCTGAGCACTCTTGCTTTTTGTTAGGCCTGTAGAAGTGGTGCAATCCAACAAAGAGTACACTGAACATGACGTCACTGACGAGGTGCTCAAAGGGTCTGCCACCTTTGGGTCATCACAGCACGGAGCATTGGACTTCCCAGGGCTACGCGGTGACATTGAAGACATTGAACGCAACTTTATGGGTGGCCTCAGCCGATTCTTTGAGGCTGCTGAGGAGTTGAAGAGCGGCTTCTTCAGTGCTTTTGGGAACATCTTTGATGAGGGACCTTCCTCCCCACTACCTCCTAGGAGGCGCGAGGTACCCATAGAAGGCCATCATCAGCAGGAAGCTTTTCCTAAAGCAAGCGGTAGCGACGACTCAGGACACGTTGATCTCTCTGGCTTGGCAAGAGAAGTTTGAAGCAGAGTTGTCCATTGCCCGTGATAAGTTAAAAGAATGACCACCTCGGTTTACCTGTTAGTATCGTATCTTCCCCTTGTACTTAATATAGAGTACAACATGAAATTTCTCGCGTACAGTAGAGCAGTTCCTATGAAGGAATTTTAGCATGAATCCATCATCCTGCCGTACGATGTGAATGCGCCTGGTAATGTTATACGAATCTTATTTGCTGATTGCATTATCTGATCATATCGTATTGGTTCATGTAAACGCAATCTACGCAATACGTCAATTCTACGCTATACGTCCATGTATCACAGAATTTTCTTGAACCTTATTGCTCTCAACAAAAGAAGTCATCTTACGCCTGGATAGAGAGATTCTTGGTTGTCACGAATTGTATACAATTATGTGTCTACCTCTTTCGTCCTGTTTGTAGGGCCGATTTTCTCGACTGGAGACATCCGAGTAGACATTATGCTTTTCTTGTTTCGTTGAATCGTTTTCACAATAATTGTGAGAGTAGGATCCTCTGGTTGGTGCCTAGTTAGTGGCAAGCCTCAAAGTGTTGCATGTTCGATATTAAATAGGATCCTCTGTTTTTTGACGAAGTTTCCAACAGCCTACCAAGTACCAACCAGTACGAAAGTCCAAAACACAAGTACACGTAAGCCATGATTGACCAACGAAAGCCGACCACGTTGCCGTGGAGTCAAACATGTTCCTACGACTACGAGGTTTATTGCAGCAAGTACAATGGGTTAGTGTCTAGTCAAAGTCAAACACAAATTAAAATATGGTCTTTTCTATTTATTTATTTTTATTTTTTGGCATACAAAATGGTCACTTTCACTTGTTCACACTCCCTCAACAATTTGCATTGAGAATTTGAGAAAATTGGAATATATTGGACGACCAAATTTCTTAAGAGTGTAACGATTATTCAATTCCTACACAAACAAGTATGCTTATAGTATATTTATAATTTATACGTAATCTTGATTAATTTAGAGTAATTTTATTGGCATTGTTGCATGCGTCGATGCCCTGAGTTGGATAAACAATATGGACCGGTTCTTCATGCCACGTGGTAGGTTGAGTGATAGATATCATCTAATTAAAACAATATTACATACTATAAGTTTTTATTTATAATTCAGATTTATGTATCATTTTTGGACAATATCTGTCGCTCAATTTGTCACGTGAAAAAATGCTGTCACTAAGTCTTTATCCATATGATGAGGAAATTTAGTAAGTTACCATTATTGGTAGATTTTTATTTTATGAGTTTGTGGCTGGTGAGACAGAGAAAAGTGATAATTTAGATTAAATTTTTCTATTCACGAAAATAGAAAAAGAAATCTGACCGGCCAGGGGCGGCTGCCGGCGGTGGAGTGGCCAACCCACACAAAGACGGATGACCAAATCGGCCATAACCCAGCTGTACAGTTGTACAAACCCCCATTGTGGCATGCCGGTCGTATCCTACCAATCTTAAACCCTCCAAATCACAAAGATCCCAGCCGTCCATTCCGGTTTTCAAATGGGAAGGTGAAAAGTTTCTCTCTGTTTGAGTCAAAATTGTAAAAAAATTAAAAATTAAAAAAAAAGAAAAAAAGAAAGAAGAAACGCGTCTTGAAACATTCCAACAGAAAAACCTGTCCCTCTCTCTCTCTCTCTCTCTTTCCCTCTCTCTCTCTCTCCATAATTTCCTTCCTTCTTCCTTCGTTCGTGTGCGGATGTGATTATATAACATGGAAAAAACGTAGAGAGAAAACCCTAATACACTCTCTCACAATCTCAAAAACCGCACAAGACGACTGTGTTTTACCATTCTCTCTCTCCATAATCTGAAATCTTCTTCCTTCTTGACGTGGAACTTGTCGACATTTCAGCCCCAAATATTGGGTTTTGTCCATTTTCCGGCAGTCGTCTTCTCTATTGGGTATGCATTGGAAGGTTGAATGGTTTTGAGGAAAATTCATATTCTTTTCTAACTTGTAGAAAGAATTTTGGGCCATTGGGTCCTCCTTTTGGTTAGTTTATTTTGGACTTTTTTTTGTGTACTTTGAGGCTCTTCCTGGGGTTAAAGATTGCAGCTTTTTCTCCAGAGAACCTCGACGGTACGAGGGAAACAACCTTTTTTTGAGAAGATTGTGATATTTTTCTATTTGTTTGATTCAAATATTTATTCTTCTTAAAGTGATTGGGATTGAGTTGGTTAAATTGGTGGATGGTGCTCCCTTTTTGGTCCTTCCATTTTAATATACATTACCTTTTTGAGAGAAAAGAGATGGGATTTTGGCCCTTGTATGATATGTGTCTGCATTTAAAATTTTGATGAGAATTTGAGAGATTGATATATATTCCGATGGGGAACAACTGTGTTGGAAACAACTGTGTCGGATCAAGGAAGGATACACTCATCCATTCAGTCTCGAGATCACTCTGGTGGTCGCGATCAACGGATGGTGTTGCCAGTAGAGGAATCAATAGTACTGATGCAACGCCGCATTTGAGTAAGAATCCGTCAGAAGGTCCTCTATACGTTCAAAACAAGGCCCCGGAAGCAGTTAAGATAGCTAAGGGAGACTATAAATCAGTGCAGGCTACAAATCAAAAGGTGAAGGTTCATCCAGACAAGCCTAATGAACCGGCAAAGCCTCAGAAACACAAGGAGGAGACGTTACTTGCGAGGCAAGTAACACTTCAGAAGGCAGAGAGTAAACTAGCACCACCAACAATTCACATGGGAGAGGCTAGACCGGTACAAGTAGTAGCGAAAAAGGAAGAGACTAAGCCAGCAGCGGCGGCAAATGTGAAACCCAAGAAGCCCCCTATTGTCAAGAGGGTGGCAAGCGCAGGGCTTCAGGTCGAGTCTGTCTTGCAAACAAAAACAGGGCATTTGAAGGAGTACTACAATTTGGGCCAAAAGCTCGGACATGGGCAGTTTGGGACAACGTTTCTGTGTGTAGAGAAAGCAACCGGAAAGGAGTATGCTTGTAAATCCATTGCAAAAAGGAAACTCCAGACTACAGAAGATGTTGAAGATGTGAGGAGAGAAATTCAGATTATGCATCACTTAGCAGGGAATCAAAATGTAATTGCGATTAAATCAGCGTTTGAGGATGCTGTTGCGGTTCATGTTGTCATGGAATTATGTGCAGGGGGTGAGCTTTTCGATAGGATTATCAAGCGAGGGCATTACACCGAAAGGAAGGCAGCTCAACTGACAAGGACTATAGTTGGAGTTATAGAAGCCTGCCATTCTTTGGGTGTCATGCATCGTGATCTTAAGCCGGAGAACTTTCTTTTTGTCAACGAGGAGGAGGATTCATCACTTAAGGCTATCGATTTTGGACTATCAATATTCTTCAAGCCAGGTATGTCTTACGATTTGTCTTTTTTCTCACCTACTGATCCATCTTATTATCATTGAATTTCTTTCGATCCATCTCAGTTCCATTTATGATTTTGTCTATTGTTAACTTAGATCATTTTAAAATCGATACCCTTTCACATTTTGGTAACTTATCACGCGAAACACCTATCAGATTGGTATTAGTATCTGAATGATGTCAAGAACGTCTTGTTATCTATATCATATTTCCTTTACTTTGTCAAACAATTTCCAGTTCTCTCAATTATTAGTTGACTTTTAGGTAATTTTCTGGTGCTACGTAAAAATGTTCTCTGTCTTTTCTATTACTGATGCAATTAATTTACAGGGGATATATTCGGTGATGTGGTTGGAAGCCCCTATTATGTTGCACCAGAAGTCCTGCGCAAGCGTTATGGTCCAGAAGCAGATGTTTGGAGTGCTGGTGTTATCATTTACATTCTCTTAAGTGGAGTGCCTCCATTTTGGGGTGGTAAGAGTTCTAATCTGTCTAGTACTGGATTTTTTTTCTTCCTGTCTCGAATGTGTATAATTTCGCCAAGAGCACTCTTGCTTTTCCCCCTCTTCTTATTCTTTTTTTTTTTTCAATTCAAACAGAAACTGAGCAAGAGATATTTGAAGAGGTGCTGCATGGCGATCTTGATTTCTCATCGGATCCCTGGCCTAGTATTTCTGAAAGTGCCAAAGATCTCGTTCAGAGAATGCTCGTTAGAAACCCAAAAAAGCGGCTAACTGCTCATCAAGTTCTGTGTAAGTTAATATAATTGTAGATATCATTAAGAAAGTGACACTATAGTCCCCTTGTCAATAGTATGCTTGACGCACGCATTCGCTCTTCATTTTGCGTATTCAGTTATATTTCTCTTATAATCATATCCTCCCTGTGATACGTTTAACTTAGAATGTAGAATGAATTGTACCACTGAAGCCATCATCGATTAAAATTAAACTTCAGGGGGGTGAAACTTTTATAAGCGAAAAAATTGATTTCGTTCTGTTGGAAGATGCCACCAGCATTCCAAAGCAATAATGTATGTTCTGGTTTCTTGCAGGCCACCCATGGGTTCAGGTTGATGGAGTGGCTCCAGACAAGCCTCTTGATTCCGCTGTTTTAAGTCGCTTGAAGCAGTTTTCTGCAATGAACAAAATTAAGAAAATGGCTCTAAGAGTACGTCTTGCAATTACTTTTTATACTTAAAACTTCATGAACCTTTGTGAATACTCTCCTCCAAAATCGACTTTATTGTGTGCAGGTCATTGCAGAGAACCTCTCGGAAGAAGAAATTGCTGGTTTGAAAGAAATGTTCAAGATGATAGATACCGACAATAGCGGTCAAATTAGTTTTGATGAACTCAGAGATGGACTCCAAAGATTTGGAGCTAATCTAAATGAGTCTGAAATATATGATCTTATGAAAGCTGTAAGTATTATATCACTGATTATCCTTCCAAACTGAATGATGCTACCGCCTTTAGGTCTCCGAAACCTTTGAGGACTTATCCCTTACTATTCTCTCATTTAGTTGTTCTCATACGAACTTTACTCGTTCTGAATTGCAGGCAGATGTTGACAATAGTGGCACAATTGACTACGGAGAGTTTATAGCTGCAACATTGCATCTAAACAAAATAGAGAAAGAAGACCATTTATTTGCAGCTTTCTCATATTTTGACAAGGACGGCAGTGGCTACATCACACAAGATGAACTTGAACAAGCCTGCGAGGAGTTTGGCATTGTCGATGTTCACTTGGAAGAACTGATCCGAGAAGTCGATCAGGACAATGTAAGTACACGAAGAGTTCTCAAATCATAGGATTGACCCTAAAAAGAAAATGGCAAGTTGTTTATGTACTTACCGTACGTGTTTGTGTTTTTTCAGGACGGGCGAATAGACTACAACGAGTTTGTCGCCATGATGAAGAAAGGCAATGCAGATTTTGATAAGAAGGGGCTTCACACCAGTGCCCTTGGCGTTGGATTTAGGGAGGCACTATCTGTTTGTTAACAGTGGTAGAGTGAGGCATTTTTCTTAATTGGCTCCATTTTTCCTTCCACCACCTGTGAATTTCTGCAGCTTTTCGAGATTTACAGATCAGAATTAACGTCTTTGGTAAATATGAATTTAATCAATTAGTTTTCAATTCACTACTTTGTATCAAAACAGACTATCTTCTGATAGAGAAAACTGACTGTACATAAACACAATAACCTTCAATTTCTGGGTATATGTGTTTTTTTTTTCTTTTTCTCAATGGTTTTTACTTAATAAAAGAGGAAGGTAAGGCTCCCAACTCCGTTCAACTCAGGGTTGTATATAGCTTTTTTAATTAGGGTGTTTGGAAGCATTCAAATACCGAACGTGTGACGTCAGTAGTGAGGTGAATGTTCTTAATCGCTTCATACGATTTCATTTTTGTTTTCTTTGTAGAATATATTTTCCCTTTACATATAGTTTTTGCGTATATGTTTATGTGATTATTTGAATCATGCATTTTATTCATACTGAGAGAACTGTTTGAGAGAATTCTAAGTGTCTTTTCATTCTTCATAGATTGTTCTTATATAAGACTTGGGTTACTTGGACGCTACGCCCAACTATTTTTCATTATCAAGGAACTTAACTAATTAATAAGATACTACATATTGGCCCGGTGTGATAAAATCTAGGCGAAAGAGAAAGAGTACAACGTTTTACGAGTCACTGATAAGATGTTGAATGCGTTTAATGTTGCCTTGCTAAAACATTGTCAGAAAAATAAAATATCATGGGGTAAAAAGCTTTCATCTAATTGTCATAATTGAAAGATTTAAAATGATCTTATACAGTGTACAGAAAATTGTATTCAGAGAACTTGTTGAGCTTCTTAAGTGGCCATAGAGCCGGTGCAGAAAGCCTGACCCATCCTATTCCTAGGCATCCCCAAACTTGTGCACATTGTACAACAATCAGAGTTTGTGGTGAAACGCCATCTAATAATTTTTTAAGAAAAATTAAAACCAATTGCTTTAACTATTTTGTTGTCGATTTTTTTATTAAAAACGATATTATTATGATAAACTAAATTAAGAGGATGAAAGAGTGAAAGTTTGGACCTTGGACGTGGTAGTTGAATAGAAAGAAAAAAAACCTTTTTTACTAGGGCAATCTATTACTTACTTATTATCGTCGAATTAGATCATAGGTAGGGATGGCAAACGCCCCAAGAATTTGGTATCCGATGATATACAACCCTAATGGGGTGGTTATGGAGGACAATAAACGATTATGGGGTGAGTTTGGAGAATGCTTTAAAAGCCGATTCAGATATGAAGCAATATGGTATTGCCATCTCCTGACCAAAACTTGACCCGATTATATACATATATTAAATTATCAATACAATTCTTATAAACTATGTTTGTGAGTCATCTTTATTGGTCTTGTAGTGTCTCATATTTCCTTACTATTACAAGGGTGGATCTCTTTAAAAAATTAATTACCTTGTTACTAGCTTTTAGGTTTAATGCTAGTTGATTATTGATTAACATGTTTTGCATAATCAAAATTTAAAGATAAACTTTTCATGATAGGCGGGTTGTTGGATGCCGATTTAGAGATACCTTCCCCTGCAGAGGTGGGGGTGTTGGTATCCCCGTTTCAAAAGAATGGTTATAAAAATGCGGTTATTGAGAAAAAAAAGTCACCAACAAAGCCGGGGATGAGGTGGTACCCCGACCCCATCCCGCCCCGTTGCCATCCTTAATCATAGATAAAATGAAGAATTAATAGCAACATGGCATATACCAGGGACGGAGCCAGAAATTTCTTCCAATGAGGGCAATCGAAAACAACTAAAAAAACCTTATTATAGTATGATTATATGCAATATGATATTAAGAATGATTTCAAATGATGATGTATCACAATTCCAATAATACAAAAAATTCAATATAGTAGTGGAAAGTAGCAAAGTGATGAGAAAAATATAAGTACATGATAGGCGGGAGAGGGTTTTTTCGGTTTGAATGACAGAACAAGAGCACTATTACTCATATAATATTTGATATGGAGTATAAGTAGAATAAATGTATATTAGATATTAGATACATATATTTTCTTCAAAAATAACCCTTGTATATTTATATAATTGTAGTTTACAACTAAATAAACGAATTACTTGAGTGGATGCACCTTCATTGGCTCCGTCCTCGGCATATACCTACCATTCATCCCAAGATTAACATAGTGAACAATCTAAATTGTGTTCTAAATCTGTGCAGGCAAAAAGTATTCTAGTACAAGGTAGGCAGATGTCTGCACCGATAACAGAAGGCCGAACGTCAGTCTGCCCAATGGTCTAAAATATTCATAATATCCCGATATTTTCATCAAAATTTTCGTGTTTTTGGACTACCGATATTTCCAATATCATCAATATTTTAGACTTTGCTAAGTCACTCATGTATCTTATCATGCAATGTATAAGGTGTAAAATATTGTACTAATTCATTATATATAAACGATTATGGTGTGTTTAAACTTCTTTCATTGATTACTACATATTTTCTACACTCACAATGTTTGTCAGCTCGATATATAATCAACTTAAATCAGTTATATCTATCATGCAATGCATTTCCTTCTAATTTTTTGTGATAAACTAATAGATAATTGACTAAATAAACATCCTGCAAAGTTTCAATAAAAATTTCCAAGTTTTTCTTACGATTTCCATGGTTTTTATTCAATTTTTATCGATATCGATAATATCCTGATATTTCCATCAAAATTTCCGTTTTTGAATTACCGATATTTCCGATATCATCGATATTTAATGTCTTGGTCTGCCCCGACGACACTCCTGATCTCTTACTATTTTCAGTGCAGATATCCGCTCCTAAAACGGTTGCACAAATTAAATGATGAAGAAAACACAAATTAAAAGCTATTTGATCCACCAACGTTCAGTCTCCGCTCCACCTGAGAACCTGCTATCTATTTCCAACCACAACTTTAATGTACGTGACATGATAAAAGCTCGATCACCAGCTCAAAAGTAGACGTGCAAGTCTTGTTGGTGCCACAAATTTCGAGCTTCACATCTCTTGATTTCAAATTTGAAGAGCAAATGATATAGCGTTTGCGGAAATTATGGGATTGTTTAAGCGGGGCATTCAAGATATAAGACACATACCCAAGTGGGGCATTCAACTTATTGATTAGTTTTGCACAAAAAGTCTTTTTATAGATCACCATATATGTACACTTCCATTTCCGAAAAGTAGTCGACATGAATTCTTTGAATCTAACCGGGGTGGTGACGATGAGATTAGGTTTAAGATAGGTCACAAGTTCGATATATAAAATAGAAATATTGTTAAGATTTTTTTTTATTAATTTCAACTTGGAATCTTTTTCAACATTAGAAAGATAAATATCAGTAGATCAAAATCTAGGTGATAAGTATTCTCAATTTAAGATTAAAAAAAACGAAGATGAGTAAGAAATAATCGAGGGCTTAAAATGTAAGTACCCTTACAAATATGAACGATAATGCCTCACATAATACATGGCTTGGGTATAGTAGAAAATGATGCTTTGGGATGCAAAGGGGATGTCGACGTTGTAGTGGCCCCGGGGGCCGGGAGCCGGGAGCCAATACATAAAGTCGTAGAAAACTTGCAATTTAGACTACAAACGAATAATGAGCTTTAAATTATGAGGCAAAGGCCAATGATGAGTCAATTTTTGGCCCCCAGGGCCATCCTTGTGAAATTTTTTGGTCCTCCTTTTTTTTTTTTTTTTTTTTTTTGTTTTGGTTTCTTCTTCTTGTTTGTTTTTCCTTGAGATTACACATGTTGGCATACCTTTTCTTTTACAAGCTTAAAATTATTTTGGATTTTTTGTGACCATGATTTTATCTCACCAAAAAAGTTTAGAGGGAGTATTTTTGTTCCTTCACTTTTTCTTTTCTTTTCTTACCAACCTTGGCGTTTTTAAATTGGATGCACTTGAGATTGTGAGTATGCCCTAGTGCTAGTGGTGAGCGTGACCGATCTCCCCCTAAACTTTATGTTACCGAAAAAAAATTGGATGCACTTTCATCAAACCTTTTTAGTAAAACTTAACAATGGTTGGTTCCTTATAACTTATGAATTATGAAACAGAGATGGAAAATAACTCATTAAAAATAAGAAATAAAAAATTATGATCGCGTGTCAAAGTGTGATCTATTTATAATGTGGAATGACAAATTCTTTGATAGAAGTCAAATATTTTCCTTTCTAAAAATTGATGCTTATTTGATTAAATTATGAACACGATCAAAAGGAACTGATTTTATTGTTAGGGGAGATTTGAGAGATGTCAAATGTTGGAAGGGTGTTTGATAGTCGTACTCAGCGTTTACAATATTTACGAAATTGTCGACATTTCCATCGTAACTCCGCCGTGTAAGTTTATCTTACATTGCCAGTCCCAAGCCCGGATAAAGGAGGAGGGGGAGGACGTCAGGTAGTCGACAACCGGCACTCCATGATCACGTCGAATCCTTATGAAAATGTTGTTGTTGTCGACATTTCCATCGTAACATCCAAAAAATCAATGATCGATATGGAAATGGAGGGTGAAATGCAAACTTCACCCACTGTCGACGAGATATAGGAAATCAATGAATATTGGGACAATATTTTTTGTTGAGAATTTTTTTCTCTAATTTTGACTAAATCTGAATCAATTGATATACCCACCCCATTGCAAATTTCCATCGAAGACAATCGAATATATGCATCGATATATTCATAAATTTGCGTATTGTTATGTCCACTTATATCAATATTTAAACATTTGTGGTATTCGATCGTTATCAATTGTAATAGCATTATCTTTTAGCTAAGTTAAGACAAATGTCACTAAACCAAATAATGATTAAAGCGATGCTATCTTCAGTTTGCTATGGTGAAGTAGTACTTTTTTTTTAATAAACGATATTATCTACATTAAGGAGATGGGGGAATGAACTAATTCTCACAATGTGCTAGCAATAATGTGGTTTAAATTCGTTTTTGATGATAATCGAAACTAAAATCTCTTATTTACAGGTGAATTATAAAATAAGTTCCCCTTTTAATTAAAAATTAAAGCTAATAAATTGTCAATAATGGGAATTGCATGAAAGAATGGCATTGAGGGCCAAAAGAGGGCAAAGTGCCAAATCACAAATGAAGAGTACACTTGAGAATCCAGCCTAGCCGTTGAATGCAACGCACCACCCGCAAAATCCCAAATGGACGGCTGAGATTGTCTGGTGAGTGGTGAGTTAAAAACCACCGTAGGATGGCCATCTCTCACGCACGTCGTTACAGCTCACGCGCGGTTGGTGGACGTGGTGGGGTGTCCAGGTTGGCCTAACGTGAGACCAATCATGTTGCGCGGTCTTGCCACGTCAGCGGGAAAGACAGCAACACCACTTGTGAACCCCACACCCAATAAAAACCCAGTCCCAACGTTCTCCAACAGTAACCTCCTCCGGCTGTTTTCAATCATTGGTTAACTTATTGTTTGACCATTTTGCCCCTTACAGTTTATTCCATTTGATTATGCTGCCTGACCATTTTACCCTTTTTCTTGTTTTTGGTTGCTATATTTTTTTTATTAAAAAAAAAAATTCAATTAGTGGTTTCACCACGACAGTCTAACTTTTCGAGGGTTGGTATGACTCAGAGAGGCATTTCAGCCTTCCTCTAAGGGTCATCGTGAGATTCACCAACGTCAAAAATCGAACCGAGGGCGTGCCGTGTGAAATACGGGTCTGAAATATATTCGTATTACTTGGTCACCCTGTGCTATGTTTGATTAATCTCCAATTAGTGGATAATAATTAATTAATTTTTTTGTTAATATGAATAGATATTCATCAGATTATCCATCACGCCCACTAATTGAAGGAGATTGACAATGAAATAAGAAATTTCCCTGATTAATTAGTCGAATTAATTTAGTAATGCTCTTGATCGTCCTTGTAAAGTGTGGAAGATTTGGTGGTGAGGATAGTCTACACAATCATGTAAGGTGGAGAACTTGGATATCCACTTCTTCCATTTTAATTAGGCTTTTAATTATTGATAAATTATATTTTGTACCCTTGTAGTTTAGGACAAACCATAAAGGCGCCCTTGTACTTTGGTTCACGTTCTTTAGAAATTGACACTTTACTACCCTGGAAGTGACAAATTGTTATACTATTGATTCTTTAATTTCGCTGTACTAGTTCCAGAACTGATATGTCCAAACCAAAACTGAACTGGCGACTATCAGAATGGCCAAATTGGAACCAATCTCAGAAATATAATTAATATCAAAACAATGTTGGTGTCGTACTAGTGGCCCAAACACTCAATGTAGGAAGTTTAGGGTTTGAATTCTCAAGACTCATACTTTTAAATTTTGACACATTTCCCATAATTTATGTCAGTTTAACTAAAAGCAACCAGAAATCCTCAAAATGTTTGACTCTTATCTACCAAATATAGTTTAGTAGGTAACAACATCATCATCATAACTCGTCACAATCTAGAGTTCATCGTCTTTCATGGTGAGGAACATCACAAGATTGGGAAATTTTACAATATTGGGTGGTGTAGGCAATAGTACTACCCTAATCAAAATTGACAATATCCTTCCAAAAGAGATGTCAAATTTTCGATGGAAATGTCATTGTGCATATTTGATATAAAAAATCCATCCAACAAAAATGTTATGCGCTAACTGGATTTGAAACCTTTGTGATTATGAGTCAAATTTATTTTTTATTAGTTTAATGGTGGGTCCCTTATTCGGTTGGAACATATCTTTTTTAGTCGTATGCATTTCTTTTTATTAAAAATGAAAATTTCAAGTCACTTAGTATTACAGTCTAGTAATATCTCTTTACTTGTAAGTGATAAGTTATGTTCAGTTCGCGCCAAAGGCGAATTCGAACCATATTATTGCTAGCTCATTGTGAGATATAGTCTACTCTCCTATCCCCATAGTATAGAAAATATTGTTTGTTTAAAAAAAATGAAAATTTCGATAACTGAGAATGAATAAGGTCACTTATACTCATAAGTCAAACCGACGTCTTGTCATCCCAAAAATAATTTTCGTCTAGCCAAGTGTCATGAATAGCATCTCGCTTGCATATATTTAAATTCTCGTTGTTTATAACCGATTCAACGGTCAGAAACTTTTTCCTCTTTAGAAATCAAATTTTCCCTCCAAAACTCAAAACTACTTTTCCATAAATGGTAAACAAAAATCCTTAAAATTTTGCAAAATAAAATCCACAATTTATTTGCCATAACCTCATTAGAGAGGATAAATTTTTTAAGGTACCGAGAAACCGGCCCGATACACCAAGTGTCATAATACAATTAGTTGGACACTTGAACAACCGGAGTGTATTTCCAGCACACTAGAAAATCTCTCTTTAAATAGGAGAGAAACATCTAATGTGGATTTTCTTATCTTAGCAAGAACATCTCTTGATACCTTCCAACTTCTTCACATACTGAAAGTCCCCCTTTCCCTCTGTCACCATTCAGGATTCAAAAACTTGCTAGTAACTTCCATGGTGGCAGTTTAGTCATTTTGCTACTATTTCCTATCTCTATCCACTTCATTGACACATCCCTCCCTCTCTCTCTCTCTCGGATTTCTCTAACCAAACCAGAGCGTGCGTCACCGACTCCCTCCATAGCTTTCAAGTTCCAACCATCAGAAGCACTTAACCATCACAAAGTGCTTCTAATCCAAAAGCACTCAATATATTCCTATACTCTCTGCTTTGTTCCTATCTTCCTGTATCATAATTCAGTCGTAGAATTTTGCTTCCATTGCTCTTTGGTCTCGCTATCAATCACTCTTTCAAGTGCTTATTTAAGTCGTTTAATCCCAAATTCAAAAACCCAAGTTCGGAAACTGCCTGATAATCTCTGTAAGTTCTTATTTTCCATGATCTTTGATGACTGTACCTCAAATTCTTAACCTTTTAATTGCTTATTTTGTTGGGTTTCTGCGTTTTCTTTGTTTCTGTTGCTTACCCTTTTCTTGGTATGTTTTGATAACTTTGCATATATTGATGATTTGCTAAAAATGTTAGTGCACAAGAACTAAATCCATGCGCCTCAGAGTGTTGTTTTTTATACATAATTTCCGAAAAAACTCTAGCGACAATCTTAGTTGACTAATTATACAATTTGTTTATTTGGTTAGATTTGTTTTCTTTTTCTTTTGAAGCAATTCCGAGCCGCGTATTTGCTATGAAGGGCTTGGTGGGAATTGGGATTTTGCAGACGTGATGGAGTGTTGAGTGTAAAAGGGTTAGCTTCTATTGCTGTGCACATGTCTGGTTTTTAAACGAATTTCGCAGAACTGTTGGAATGTTGAGGATTATGTGTTGTGGATTAGAATGATATACATTATTGTCTCAGAATTATCAAGCTTTTCATGACTGAAATGATGAGAATTCTTTCCCAGTTGGCTATGTTAGGATCATTTCATCATAAAAATTTCATGGTGTTTATGGTTTGCAATTTGTCATGCTACACATTGTGCCTTGTACTTCTCTTTTGGATGGAGGGATAAAGCCAGCCAAATAGAAAAATGAACGTCTTGAGGGTATCTCCTCATCTTGTTCTTTGGCACATTGGGAAATAGCAGAATAAACTCTTACCGTTTTTTTTTTTTTTGGAACATTGGGAGTGTTCTTTTAGAATATTTTGGTATTTTAGAAGTTTCATCAATAGCTCTGAGTGACTCTCACCTGGGAGTGCTTGTACTCTCATTGAAAGCACTTTTAAGCTTTTGCCAAACACTCTAAAAGTGATTTTGGCACTCCCGAAAATGATAGGAATTGTTATGACATTTGAGTTCTTCTCGGTAGGATAGGATACTCAACCATTCATGACCGTTGCCTGCCTGACTATATAGAATTCTGGATGTCTTAGTATTGATATTTCCTACTTTGTTATGTCTTACTGGTATATACTGAAGTTGTATCATTCATGTTAATCATAATGGTATTAAAGAGAAGATTTCTTGGTGTTTGTATTTCCACAATTTTTCTGTGTCATTGTTCAATATTATAGTTAGTTGTGTAATTTATTGGACTAATCCAAATGTTAATCTCTTGCATAGTCGAACTTTGTATTTTTTTTGTCAAAATAGTAGAACTATTGTTTGACTTTGCTTACTTTGCATTTCATTTCATGAAGTATTTCACAAATGGAGTCTGAAAATGGGCTTACATTTGAGGATGAGAGTTGTGTTATTGAGGAAAAACATGTAGATGTATCAGTACCGGATTTGAGCAAACAGGGCAAGAATGCAGATGGTAATATAGAAGTTCCTGCGGTGAACGGAATATCTGAACCTGTGACAAAAGATGAAGGCATTAACTCTTCTGAAGTTGTAGTCACAGCCACTGCGACTGTTCAGCCTGGTAAAAATTCAAAAACTAGAAAGGTACTGCATGCCAGCATTCCTTCTTGTTTGAGCTAGTTCTCTTTTCAATTTTCATGACAGACATGTACCAATGCTCTTATCTACTTGTGTTTTCTATTCAGAATCTTCATGCTCCGAACAATGGTTTTTCAAAGAGCAAACTGGCCAAGGATAAACCTATTGTGAAAGACGCAACTCCATTCCCTCGTAAGGAGAGGGCAACACTTTCTCAGAGTCAGTCTTTCCCAGCAAAAGGATCTCGTACAGATCCTATGAAAAACAGCATTGATGTGTACCCAGTGAAAACAGAAGTTAAACGCGCTCGAGGAAAAGCAACTAAAGTTGAGGCTCCCATTTCAGTTTCTCGTCTGAATAATCCAACTAGGCGTGCCTCCACAGGAGTTCATTCAAAGGATGGGAACAAAACTGGTGGAGCTGCCATTAAGAGGACTTCTTTAGCATCAATACCCAGCATTAGATCCTCTCCAGTAAGACATTTTCAAGTTTTTGCTTCTGTATTTTACTCTTATATCTTTCTTAAATGTAGCTAATGCCCGCTCTTAATTGCATCAGTCTGGCAAGTCTGGTTCTGTGGATACATCCGCCAATAGCCCATCTAATGTGATCCAGTAGGTTACAACCTCGATTCAGTACACAAGTTTACTTAACCTTTATATTTTTGGTTCAAACATTACAGATCGTTGTACTATTTACTTATGCGTAATCTGCGCATAGGAAAAAATTACTCCACTGAAAGTTAATTCTGCTTAATGATATTGATTAGTCATTTTATGATGTTTGGTGTGCTAACAGATCAGTTGATCAAAGTTTAAATGCTGTAAAAACAACTCTGCCAATCAAAGAGGACGATGATGCTCACTCCGTTGCTTCGTATGCCTCATATCCTAGAGCATTAATTGTTTCTCATCTCTTAGTCTTCACTGCCAGTATCTGAATTATTTCTTCTGTTGTACTGATACTTATATGAATTCTGTATTATATCAAAAGTACTACACCTAATGGGCGGAGGATCAGCGCTTCTGGATTTTCCTTCAGGTTGGAAGAACGTGCTGAAAAACGGAAGGAGGTTGGTAAAACATACCTCTAGTTTCTGATCAAGTTACCAATATTTTCAAAAGCTTGAAAATCAGGATGTGAGCCACAAATTGTTTGGAAACACTCCCTCTCATGTGGGTCTCGATCCACCATTAGAGTGCTGCAATTGCATGCTCCCAATATATGGAATTCAACTTATTGGGAGGATCCAATTGCAGGCATTTTGGATGCAGGATCTCCTGCTCAACTACCGTGATAAAGTTTTCTGGTTCCATTCTCAGAAGCTTAACCATTATGATGTGGGATAACAATTACCGTGATAAAGTTTTCAGTCCATATCACTAACGAACCTTATTCATCGTTCATCAGTTTTTTACAAAGCTAGAAGAGAAGATACAGGCTAAGGAAGAAGAAAAAACTAACTCGCAAGCAAAATCAAAGGTGTGGAGACTAGTTTACAGCACTCCGACAATTATACTCTTGTTGTTCTTGATGTATTGACTTGTTTATTTCTAATTTCTGTTTCAAATTCGTTATATTTTCCATATATTTATTTTGCAGGAGAGTCAGGAAGCAGAGATCAAGCGACTAAGGAAGAGCCTGATGTTTAAGGCGGCGCCCATGCCAAGTTTCTATAAAGAGCCTCCTCCGAAAGTTGAACTCAAGAAGGTAACTGTTACTCTTCTCCCATCTCTGCTTCATGTTGTTTGCTTTTGTATAGCAACATTGTACGTGACTCGTCTCTACCAATCAATTCAGATTCCTACCACACGTCCAAAATCTCCGAAGCTTGGAAGGAACAAGAGCTCCATTTCTTCACTAAACAATTCTTCAGAAGTTGCTGGGGTGTCTCTTAGCCCACGTCTGAATCGAGAACTGAATAATTCAAAGAAAGGATTAAAGACTAAAAGCGAAAAGGACGTCATAGATCCAAAGAAGCCTATTAAAAAGTCTCAAACTAGGCTTCATTCTCAGGAAACTGCTGCTACCAAAACCGAAGCAACGGGTACCGAAGAAGAAACACACGACCAGAAAGCGCGCACTGGAAAAACTGCAGAAGCTCAGGGCCAATCAGGGCATCTTCCCGAATTCAAAGATGAGATAGAGCCTGCAGTGAGTGTTGGCCAGATCGAAGAACCAGTCCTCGGTGCACCTATCCCCGAGATCATGCCCCATGAAGTTTCAGTTGGAGTTTAACGACGTACTTGTGATGCCGATGGATTGTGTTCATATAGTCTTCAAAGGTTTAAGTTGCATATTGCTGTGAATATGGAACCATTGTGGGAATACTCATGAAAGTCGTGTATTGATATCCTTAAAGGTCAAATGTAATTTGTTTGTTCTTTCAGTCATCAAATTACTGTGGAAGTTTGAAGACAATAGTGTTGTCTTCAGTGATCTATGGATTATGAGTCTTTCATGTATAATTGATGATTTCTTTTTCTCCCTACATATCAAAAAGCTAGGAACTTGGAGAGATTTTTCTTGAGTACCTGCACACACTCAATGACGATACGTGTTTGACAATTAGATCAAATGGTTTAAATTAGTGATCAATGATTATTGGATCAAATCCAAAAATGGTCAAATATGTGTAGCGCTTGCATGTACTAAGCACTCAAGAAAAATAACCTGAAACCATTTTTCTGGTTATTGTTTCTCCCCGTTTTCCCAATTTGCATTAAACACCATGTCTAAGAATTAGGATTACAGCCACTTAATACCACGGTCTAGTAGTATTCTTTTTTACTTTTTCAAATTATTGTTTCGATTCTTGCCAAAGACGAATTTGAATCACATTATTACTAGTAAGGCTAAGCTCACCCCGCCCCACTCCCTCTAATGTAGATTATCGTTTGTTGAAAGAAAAAAAAAAATGGAACTAGAATTACATATAGGCCTTTGACCTTGGAAGCCGTTCTTAAGACACTGCAAGTTTCTGGAACCAGTGATAAAAGCTCATCGAGAAATGAACAAGCTCAAAATCCCCTATGAAACACGACAAAATTGGTGGGGGGATTTGAGTTCCCAGCATATTGTGCTAAGTCACACAATGGGTCAACACTAGGTATCAAACTCAACAAAAATATTATACATTCTCGTCATCCATGTTAGTCGAACCTTAGACTTCTCACTGACAAATATTACTACTCCGTAGTACTAGTCAAAGATGGTGTAGTTGGATAAGAAACATTCACCGGAATCAAAATACGCACAACATAAAAAGCCTATCCACTCACATTAGCACACGTGCGTATGGAGAGGCTAGTTAGAGATGATGCAAATATATGTTGATAATAAGCAAATGTTCTGTGAAACATCCAAATCCAAGCTGAAATATAAGTGTTGAATCATTTTTATCAACCTTCAACCATAAGTAAACATATCCTCAATGCCTATCTTCATTAACATTTGAAGTGCTCCTCTTTTATAATACCTGGTTTTCGCAACATAAAAGGACAGACAAATTCTAAATAATGCGTAAATAACAAAAACGCATACAAAATTTTCCTCCCTGCATAAATTTTTCTTGCAGCCTCTTAACGGTTGGCCTTGGCAACTCTTTCAATCTCATCCTTCTTCTTGATTGCATAACTGCACATAAAACACCACCAATCGTCAGCGAAGAAACAAAGAATCAAGGGAAAGGAATGAAATCAGACTGCATAACTTAAATGGAAAATAAAGAGACAATAAAAAAACTTAGGAGAAAATAACGTAATAGGCAAACAAGCGCAGTACCTGTTAGAGGAACCTTTGGCAGCATTAATAAGCTCATCGGCCAAACACTCGGCAATAGTTTTGACGTTCCTGAAAGCAGACTCACGAGCACCGGTTGTGAGGAGATAGATAGCCTGATTCACACGCCTCAAAGGCGAGATATCCACAGCCTGACGCCTAACAACTCCAGCAGATCCAATACGAGTTGCATCTTCACGTGGACCACTGATTGGCACGAAGAAGACATACAACATGAGAGAAAACAAAAACAAATATACAGAATTGAAAAGAAGAAGAAATGTCATATCCATCGTAATCCCAACAGATAAAAATCAACATGTAATCAGGAAAACTATAGTAAAGGGCACATGAGCTTCTCCTAAGCATCAAACAAGGGACGAAGCAGAGGTCAATTATTACTATGAGGAAGATTGTGTATGTACCTGTTAACAACAGCATCAACAATAACTTGGATTGGGTTCAGATCAGTTAGCAAATGAATAATTTCCATTGCGTGCCTAACAATCCTGACAGCCATGAGTTTCTTTCCATTGTTTCTGCCGTGCATCATGAGTGAGTTTGTAAGCCTCTCCACAATAGGGCACTGAGCTTTCCTGAATCGCTTGACCGAGTATCTCCCAGCAGTGTGTGGTACGTAAGTTGCATGCTTGGAAGGTGCAACTCCAACGTAATCCGCCAGTGAAATGTCACTGACCTACAAGTCGCAGTTCACATTATAATTAGCAAATGTGAGTATAACAAATTAATCAATATGTTTGAAAAAAATGAAATTCATCGTATACATAACAAAAGACCTAGTCAACATTTAAACAAAAAAAATTTGACGCATAACTACAAATTAATCGATAGCAAGGAGGCCACACAGATGTCTAAAATTTCTAAAAAGCAAGGGAACAACCAACAAGGAAATGCACAACAGACACAGATCCTCCACGGTTAACCAACCATCGGTTCAATCTGAAGAATTATCTAATATCACAGAGTATATCGACAACAAACCTAATGTACCTCTAAATATACGCGATCAATAATAACAGTCCAGCTAAACTTATTGTTACGAAACTCAACCGTATTCATCAAATTCATCACAGATCATGGAAAACAAAGGTACGAGATTTAAGCAAAAAATCCAGAAACCTGGACATCATCGAAGCTCCAGCGGTTGAAGAGCTTCACGTCATAGTGCGCCAGCGTTGGTTCCAATACAGGAGCAGCAACATCCGCAGCGGCCATGGTTTCTGTACAAAAGTTAGAAAATCTCAATGCTCCAAACCCTAGTTGATTAAAACACCTTCATCCAGCAGATGAGATTACAGAAATCTGATCACTATTTGACAATGCCTGCCTCAAATCTTCCAAATTTTGAACAAATTAATTAATTACGGGTTTTAATTCTCAATAAAACAGTAACATAATGAAGCATTGATAGTAATAAAAATTAAGAAGTTCATAGGAAGTAGCAGATTCCATGACACTGACCTGGAGGCTGGAGTTTCAGACGAGGGTGAGAGAGCTTGGAGAAGACGGCGCAGGGTACAAGTGTTTAATGTACTAGGGTTTAAGTGTTGGGGTTACTATTTTACCCTTCGCTATTGTATATATTTCACTTCTTTTTAGTTAATTTACAAAAAAAAATTCACACAAGCGAGACTTTTCGGTGTACCAGAATACAAGCCTCAAGGCAATACACAAGTGTCCACTCATATTATAAGTTTATAACACGTAAGCTATATTTCACACTTCGTATTCAACACCGGATATAACTATTTAATACGAATCTAATGTTCACACTCTTAAGTATTAAATAAGCATCGGTTAAATTAATTCGATCCCACTTATTTATACACGTCATACCCCGCTAATTTATACACCCCAAAGCCTTTGTATAATTTAGTCGGGTTCAAGCTAAACAAAGACACGCTCTTTGTTTCTACTTTCTACCCATTGTTCGCAACCTGGTGACGGCAATGGCAAAAACGAAGACTTGATTAGCTATACCAGGGATTCCACCACAACCCTCCTCTTCTTCATCTTCTGCTTCAATTTGATTTGTTGGAATGACAAAGCTTTTCTTTACTTTGTTTGCAACAGGGAGTGTGGTGGTGGAGAACCACTTATGGCATAGGTGCATTGCCACGGTGATGTGCCGTGCTAATAACAAAAGAGATGTAAAAGAAAATAGCACATGTCCTTATATTATTGACAGATAACGTCATCTAACGGTGAACACATGCCATACAAAGTCCGAGAGGTGACACGCCACTTAGTACTACAGTATAATGGTGTTCCTCTTCACTTAGTACTGCAGTCTAATGATATTTATCTTCGCTTAGTACTACAGTCTAATGGTATTCCTCTTCACTTGTAAGTGAGAGGTCTTAGGTTTGATTCTCGTCAAAAACGAATTTGAACCACATTATTGCTGCTTATTGTGAATCTAAGTTCACACACTCTTCAATAATGCAAATTATATTGTTTGTTAAAAATAAAATAAAAGTCCGAGAGGTGACCAAGCCCATCCATACTCTTAGCCATAGTTAATTGTTATCAAGGGATAAATTATTCGGAATTGAGATTCCCACCATTGTTTTTTATGATGTACTGGGTTGCGAGGACTCCTCGGCCTTGCTCCATTTTGGTTATAGCCCAATGCACTAGGATCTTAAGTCATTCTTTTTGTGTTCAAAAATTCTAAATGAGTTCTTATAAATATGATGGCGTTATTACTTTAGACATTCGTCTTGACCCTCTAAGATCTCAGGAACGACCTTACTTTCAAGAAATTGACAACGTAACAAGAGATTATGGAAACTCACATATAACCGAAGTAGAGTTTACCATCAAATCTTTTCTAAGAGAAGAGGAATGGTTAGGGTACATTGTAATAAGGATAAAACTGTTAAAAGCACAGTTAGTTAGAATTGTTATAAGGTGGTTATGACAGCTTGTAATTAGTGAATGTTTGTTTGGGTATTTTTGTAATTAGCTGGTTAGCTAAGACTACTGAGTCACTAGTATATATATGTATATGCCATTGTATAATTTTATCTTGATGAAATGAAAGATAACATTTCTAATACATTGAAGTACTTAGGGGTGGTTTGGGAGTGGGGTGCTTAAAAAAAAAAAACACTCATAAAAAAAAGCTGTGAGGGTTTTAGGTGTTTGGTAAACTGAAAAAAAAAAAAGGCTTATTTTGGAAGCTGCTGTGAGAATAAGCTGAAATCAAAGGAAAAAGTTGAAGCAGCTATTTGCAGCTTTGGAAAACTGGTTTTTTTTCAAAGCACACGGAGCTACAGTGCTCCTTTAATGAAAAGACCCACTATCAGACTACTTTTTTTTTTTTTCCAAAAGCACTTTTACAAAAAAGTTTATCAAACACTCTGCTGATTTATTTCACAACCGCTTATTCTCACAGCACATCCGCTTATTCTCACATCAGTTTTTTTTCAAAGTACAGCAATATCAAACTAGCCCTTAATATAATCACTCATTGACAATTAGATATGGCTGTTGAATGTCTTTACAATACTACTGAGTGATTTACCCAGTTTGGTATTGTTTTTTTTCATCAAAAATTGTTTCGCTTTAAAGTTAAGCGGTAAAAAAGTGTTTGGTAATCTACTCATTATTATGGTCTGGTGACATTCCTCTTCACTTGGAAGTGAGAGGTCTTAGATTCGAATCTCGTGGATGACGAATTCAATATGAAATTAGGTTGCCCATTGTGTGGTTTAGCCGAACTCCTCATTCCCTTAGTGTAAAGATATCAATGTATTAAAAAAAATGTTTGGTAAATATAAAATATACCGCTTATTTTAAAAACAATGACCTCTCGACAACAGTTTTTAAAAGCAGCCTGTAGGTTGCTCTTAAAAGCTGGTTTAATAAAAAGTGGAGCTGAGCCTTTAGAAAATACAGTATATCAAACGCTCAATTGCTTTATTTTGAAGCTGATTATTCTTAAAACATAACAATAATCATTTATTAAAAAAGCACAGCAATCCCAAACTGGACCTAAAAATCCAAGCCAAGTCCCTAAAAAGAGTTTCAAACACATTAAGTTTACATCTCATGAATTTGTCTTCAAATCAACACGTTTGAACGGTTTTCCCAACCACATGTTCCATGCATTTTGTTATTTTAATAAATGAGACGTTCCATGCAGTTGCCAATTGGGATCTTAATATTCGCTTTACAATATTTGGTGTTGAAATATTAAATCGAGTGGTTCAGGAATAAGGCTTTGCTTTGACCCTAATCAAACAAGATTCTTGATTCTACTTCCACCGCACTTGCTGGGCACAGCTTGTCGAATTTTGAGAAATTAAGATCTTTAAATTTTTTTGTGACAAATAGAAGAAGATATTTAAGATAATTTTCAAGTTTGTCATCGAAAGTAAAAACATGCCCCATGACAAAGAGGATATTGATTGAAACTTACCGCATATATTGAAGTTGAGATACTCCACGGATTTGTATGTTCGGAGTCGACGGACTTAAAAATCTAGACTGTTAAAAAGAAAGGGAAATTCAAGTTATTCAAGGGCTTGGTTTTGTGTGAAGTAGGCTGGTGAGATTGGCTAGTAGGCACCACATGATTTTAATTGAGTGGTTCAGATTTTTAGATCCGTCGGAGCTGAACATAGAAATTCGAAAATGATCTCAGTTCCAGATATTGCACATGTTTTATGCTTCTTTGACCATGAAAAAACTAATATGTTCATGTTAAAATTACATTTCTGACATATATGTTTCATCAAAAAACATGAAAACAAACAAAAATGTGTGTGCATATGTTAAATTGTAATTAGCAAGTAAGAATGAGTACCTATAGAACCAAAGTGTTTTCTTATGATCAAAGGAAGTCCTTATTGGAACGCAAAAAAAATGTTTGTCATATCAAATTGCAATCTATTCTTTATATTTTTACAAAGGAGAAGTTCTTAGTAACTTTTTGCAGTACCAACAACAACTGCTTATGTTAATATCACCACAAAACCAAAGGGTAGGTGGGCTCACCAATTTTACTTAAAAAATTGTAAGAGCCTACCATTTATGTATAAAAAAAAAATCGCTTAACACACCTTAATGTTTAAGATAAAGAAAAAAAAAAATTATATATATATAATAGCATTGGCTTTGGAGTTACTCTTTTGTTTTTCTATTTTTGATTTAGTTTTTTAATTTGTTTTATCAATTTTTGGCCACATGTTTAATAAAGTTTTAAGCTTTGATTATGTCCAAATGTGTGTACCATCAACCCCTTAACAACTAGGTAAGTGATGTCATAAGAAATGCCAAATGTCAAATTATCTAGTCAGCCAAATGATCCGACTAAGCATAATATTAACCAAGGCCATCTCTAGCTTTGACTTTTTTTTTTTTGGTAATCAAATACACACACACTAGTTTCTTGGCAATTTGCTCTTTTTCATATTATATTTTTACTTGTAATTTATTTCTTTTATTTTTGTTTTAAATATTTTTTTATATTTTTATTTTAAATAGTTAAAGAAAAAAAACTGTCCACGGCATGGTTAATTTTATTTTGTCAATTCGGTTAATTTTTTTTTAAATTATGAATGAGTCACTTTTTTTTTGTCTTTATAGAAATAGATATAATAAATTAAATTCCAATGAAAATATGGTCTTTCTTTTTATTTAATAATAGTCTCTAAATTAAGGATAGCGTTATTCATTCACATATTTTTACTTTCCGTACATCTTTGTTAATTTTTTGTCATTAATCTTCTTCAATTCATTCGATTGGACAATAAAAAATTAAAAAAAAATATATGAAAAGTAAAAATAAGTGTGTAAAAAGCACGAAGCCATATTAATTCCCCAAAGAAAATAAAGCAAAAAATTGTTCCTAGTTTGGCTGTTGATAAAGGTAAAGGGTCCTACTACATAATTTAGAAGGGAGATGAGGGCAGCAGCTGACACTGACACTGGTTACTGATCCATCAATGATGTTAAGAAGGTTGAATTTATTGGTGCAAACCCCATTTTATTACGCATCTGAGAATTTGGGTTTCTTATATTTACGTAGACTTTGGCTTATAACCTTTTTCTTCTTTCTCTTCTTTCTTCTTTCTTCTTTCTTCATAGGCACGAGTTGAGACTAAACCACTTTAGACGTGTCGGGTTGTGTTATTAACTTACTTGTTGCAACAGTGAACGATAGATTTGTGTTTTTTTGTTAATATTGAGTCATTCACAAATTAAAAAACAAATCAATTTTTTCAGCTGACCATTTCGTCGAGCATTTGGTATGTCTGTCGTCTTTTGTCGAACCATGATGTGTGCATGCTGATAGATATTGATATCTGATGAATTCTACTGAAAGGCCATGTTGAGTTTTGTCGAGACTCGTTGCCAAGTGATGCCAACGCATCTTGTCAAGGGATGTCGACGCCTCCTTCCTCGTGCTATCGAGATATGTTGAACATGCAATCCCTCGAACACTAGGTGGGCACAAACGAGTTTGCACCGAGCATTCGAGTGATCCCTGAAAGACCTTTATCAGTATTTATCTCTGCTTCCGGAGGGTCTTGAAACCACTAAGGTCCCTATGTGAATCCCCATACGTGTCAGGTGGTGCTATTTAACTTACGTGTTGCAACATAGTAAAAGTCAAATTTGTGTTTAAACACGTATTAAAATATAAATGAATTGGTAATATTAGAACCACGAAAATGATGATATTACATTACGGTCACTTTACATTTTTTGACAATAAAATGCAAAATTACATGTTCCACGTGGGGACTAGTCAGTGATGATTCCACTTCTAAAGGATCTTGCCACTAATGATACTCAGATTGGTGATATATTCCTTTTAAAAAAAAATTATATGCTAAGTATGATTAGAAAGAACAAAAAGAAATCTTATGATATAAAATGAGCATGCAAAGAAGGGGTTTTCCTTAATTAAACTAGTACCACTAATTGACCAAAATCTCTTCTTTCTTTCTTTTTTCTTCCCATTTGATCGCACAGTGACAAATAATACCAACTGATCATACCATGAAAGACCACCAACTTGTGATTCCTTTATTAATTCCTGGACCCAACCACAGCCTCAATATCAACATATTTTTTATATTCTAAATTAATGCAAAACCAAACTTGAGGTCTACATTCATATAGCAAAAAATATTAATAATGGACGGTTTGATAATTATTTCGTTTGCAGTTTTTGTTTTCATTTTTTTAAACTGTAATTTTGTTGTATCTACTTTCAGTTTTCGGTTAAAATAATTGAAAACTGAAAATTACTTTCTTGAGCTTTTTAAATTTAGCCTTGAGTTTTCATTTTTAATTTTTCTAAAAACTGAAAGTTAACCCAAACAAGATGTCAATATTCAATTAAAAAAAATGAAAAAACTAAAAACGAAATAGTTATCAACTAAAGTCACATTGTAAGTTTTATGTTTCGTGTGGATTTGATTCTTGTTAATAAACAACACCACCCATAGGAGAATCATGATTTATAATGGATTTTGGTTCTTGTTTGATTCTTTATAACACACACATACAGTAGATTGCTTTTTTTTTTTCTTTTTTTTCTTTTGTTTTTTTTTAGAAAAGGGAACCAGCTAATGGCTTTCCCCACGGCAATTCTCCTTTCGATGGCCGGGAAGACTCACAGAGGCATTTCAACCTCCTCCTGGTTACCATCGTGCGATTCACCAATACTAGGAATCGACACACACAATGTGCCGTGTGAAATATCGGTCTAAAATTCATTCCCAACTATTTCTCTTCAACACACTACGTCTCAAGTTTAAACTCTCTCACCTCTTCTTAGTGTAGTTTAAAATAAGAATATATCTTGTAAATAAAATAAAAAACATCATGCCAACATGTCACGTAATGTATCAGTTACACGTAATCATTTTCCATTCAAACTGCGATACAACTTGTGTCTAAAGTCCAATCTCAAGGTTAGATTGGAGAACAACATGACATGATTTTGAAAGAACACCAAATTAGCAATCCAAAGGGACGACTAATGCTGATCAGTTGCTTAAAGAGTGCTTACTTTTAAGTTTTTAGTGTTCACACTTTTCCTATGTCATAATCATATCTCATTGATTAATACATTTTATCAACTCTATTATCTCTTCTTTGGTCAATGCCTCAATGATCATATAGATCTTCATTTATTGATTTCCAAGTGTAAATTGGTTCGGTGGTTAGGATTTTTCTCTTCAATCCACTGTGAATTGGTCCTAAACCCTTACTGTAGTTTAATTTAGAGTGGGAACATCATTTGTATTATAAAAACACATAGCAAACATACACTTAAAACAGGTAGGCTGTTGTTTTGCTTGTAACACAAGTTTAGATTACAAGTCACATTTTTTTTTGCTTGGCATACACGTCGTCTAAATTAGGTTGTGTCGTGGTGACACCTCAGCTAAATTAGGTCACGTGGTGACACGTCAGCAGACAACGCTAAAAGGACAGGACTTGGATCCTCTCCAAATCTCCTCACAGGGGATCCCGGAGATCAATTAATACCAACCGTTCATCAAAAATCGTATGGTCACAATTTTTTACTCAAAACAAGGCCTACCGTTCATAAAAAAACCGGTTGGTATTAACTGATTCCCGGGATCCCCAGTGAGGAGATCCGGAGAGGATCTAATTCCAAAGGACACAAGAACTTTGTTTGTTTGAACCGCAAGCAATCAGGATGAAGTTTTGATTCACAAGCAAAGCCAATGGAGCAAAAAGGAAGTTGGTGCAAACATAGTAACCCAAACAAAATAAGAATAATAATTAAAAAATTGAGTATGTAATTACAGTTTTGATAACAAATCAAGGGAGAGAAATCAAGAGGGGGTGGAGATTCTTTTGTTTGGGTGGATATGGATATCCAAAGAAATCCCGCAACCCAAACGCTCCCTCTGTTTATACATTCATTCAGTTCATCTTTATATAATATGCAGACTCATGATCGATCATCCTACACTGACATGCTTACCAAAACTCTGTTTTACCCCCAAAAAACCAAACGTGTTTCGAAAAACAAATTACAACGACGCAGAAGAAAGAACTGTATTTACCATTATCGATTACTGTTTACAGTGAAGACATTCATCTTTTTTTTTCTTTCGTCGGGGGAGAAATTTAATTTTGAGAGAGGGAGAGAGTGAGAGAGAGACCAGCATCTTCATTGACAAGTAGAGAAGTGAGCTCCAAGCATTCTACAAGCTACTTCCATCAATTTCCCTGAAAATATAAGTGGAAAAGGGAAAAAATAATAAGTCAACTGAATAAATCTGTAATATCACATGCAAATATATAAAATAAAAAAAAATTAAATAAAAAAAGGGAAAATAAAAGACATGCCAGCTGACTTCTCAATTAGCAGAAGCAAATGGGAATTAATTAAGGGACAGGATGTGGTGTGGTGGGTCATATAGCATTAGGTCACAGCTGGGTATTGCTCGGCTGGCGTCACATGGAATCAGAGACGGGTGGTAGTGGAAGTGTGCCTGTCCTCTCCCACACTCCAAAGTCCGTGACATCAAACATTTTATGCCTTTGCACCAACAGTCTTTGCCGCCTAACCCATGGTCACAGTTTCTAGCCCCCAAGAAACTCCATGGTCACATTTCTAGCCCTAGAGTCTAGGTGTATGTCGTAAAACGGCGGGGTTTAGAACCCTAAACCCTAATATCGGCACATAAAACACGAGTAAAAACATCGTGTTTTGTGTTGCTTGTGCACGATTAGGGAACCCATAACCGTTGATTGATGTGAATCTCACGCTGATAAATGGTTTACATGAAAGACTACAACTTGTTAGGGTTGTTGGGTGTCGCTTTCTTGTCTATATGTCTATGCCAATCACACTAGTGACGAATCTTAGAAAACATCTATTAATCAACCATTCACTTCTAATCATTTGTGGCATCTAGCATATAATAAACTGCCCTTTTTTTTATGAATGAATTAGTACCAACCCATTTGTAAACTGATTCTCCAGAATTCAACCGAAAACAAAACAAAATGACTAGTGAAATTTTTACTAGTTCCGGCCTAACCTCGCAATCAAATGCATTTTTATCAGCCCCTCACAACACATAACAAACATCAACTGAATCAATCAATCGAAAACGAATTGAAACAAATCGCAGAAAGACAAGGCACGGCGCTCCTTGGCTTAAGCTAGCAGCAACTGTAGCAGCAGTCGTGAGAGGTCCATGAAAAGCTTTGGAAACAAGAATATCAACAGAGGAGGATGGGACTGATCTAAACAAGGGTTATTAGGTGCTATATCGGGAGGGAGAAAGGCCGGAAGAGGGGTTTTTCCGGCTTTATAAACATAGCTGAAGATGCCATAAGCCTCTTCGAAACTTCATTGACATTGCACACTGATAGTTCAATTGACGAAAACTTGGACAAATCGAGCCGATAATCCAAGAAAGAGAGAACTAGTCATAAACCATCCCTCAATAAATCAATGATCACATCATCCTAATCACTTCTAACATCTAGCATACCATAATTGACCATTTCTAAATTGTTTCGACCTACTCCACTATGAAGATCAATCTTTAGTAGAATTTGACCTAATTTAACCTCAAACAAAACATCAATTATGACACATTACAAATCTAATTACTGACAAACACAGATTTAAGCAAGGAATCGAAAAATAAGAAGCAAATTAGTAATGCAGAGAAAGAAAAAAGCTCCTGAAAGTACCTCTCCTGGGCTTAGCAGCAACCTTAACAACCGGTGCAGATTTCTTCTCCGTTTTGGCCTCCTCCTCCTCCGTCGGGTAAAGCACCCCGTCAATGCCCTGCACCGAAATCCTCCCGTCCGTATAAATATCGGGATCAAACAAATACGCCGAAACGTCCCCCTGCCCGAATTTCACCGACCCATCAGCCTCCTGCGCCACCACTTTATGCGGCAGCCTCAATGTGTCGTACCGCACCTTCCCGAACCTCTTCACCGAATTATACATACTCTCCTCCGTCTGGTACTCCGGTATGATGTGGTAGTACACAATCTGCTCTGGCGCCCCCGGCTCGCTCAGCTGGTCCGTGGTCAGCTTCGCCATCGCCTCGTCGTTCGGCGCCAGCACCGTCAGCACGTACCCTTCCGAAACCAACCGCCCCATCTCCGTCGCCAAAGACGTCAGATTCACCAGAATGTCTGCCATCTCGTTGTACCCACCGTAGTGGAGGAGAGTGTGGATGAAGTCTTTCACCTGGCTCTCACCGTCGAAATGATGTTTGGGCCCGCCGGGTCCGGGGGCGGGAGCCGGAGCTAGAGACGGACCGGGAGCCAAAGCGTCGTAAATCGGCAGAACAGGCGGGGCGCCGGCTGGAACCGGAGCCGGCTTCTTCAAGCGGTGGGTTCTTGGGTCGACCTCGGGAGCTCCCTCGGGATGAATGGCGGATATGGTCCGAAGATTCCGCCTCCGGTTGAAGTCGTCCTCGACGGTGCGCGGGATCAGGAGGCTCTCGATTCCGTGGATGACACCGTCGGGTCGGGTCACATCATCGGGTCGGATGATTTGTGCGGAGTTAACCGATTTGCGGCCGGTGGGCTTGTGGGTTGTCAAATGAAGGTGCTCGTGGTTACCGGAAAGGGTCTTGTGGTGGCGACCCGACCCGGAATCCGGCCACTGGGTCGACCCGATACGGCTGGGGATAATGTGGAACATGAGCAGGGTCTGGAGGGACTTCAGATTGCCGGGTTCGAGCAGGAACCGCTTGAATTCCGGGTCGAGCTGGCGCTCCAAAGCCTCGTTTTTGGGGGCGAAGATGGTTACGTTGTGGTTGCCGACGGCCTCCTCGAGGGTCTGGAGGAGGAGGGCCTTCTCGACGAGCTCGGCCAGCTCGGTGTAATGCGAGTCGAGGAGGGCGACGAGGACGGAGTTGGAGTTGACCGCCGTGGTGGAGGATTTGTTAGATGGCAATGCGGCGGAGGCGGCGGAGAGGATGAGGGCGAAGACGAAGAAGAAGCAGCGACCATAGATCTGGGAGCCCATGGCGCCCGAAAGATACGGCGAACAAATCAGAGTTTCTGCTCGCTGGCTGGCCGTGGTAATGCTGCAGTAGTAGTTTTGGCGGTGGTGGGAAGTGGAAGCAGATGAGGAAGAAGAAGAAGAAGAAGAAGAGAGAACAGGAGAGAGGAGTTCGGGGTTTGTGAGATAAAGAGGCTTCAGAAAGTGGTGAGAGGCATGAGAGTTAAGTTCATTGACAGGCTGGAGGTGGGGACCACACGGAGACTTCCTCTCTCTCTACAAGCACTCCCCACCTGCTGCTGCTGTGCTCTCTCCTCTCTCTCTCTCTCTCTCTCTCTCTCTCTCTCTCTAAGACTAAAATGCTTTGGGTTTGAGAGTGTTGAGTTGTGTGGAAGCGAAGCGAAGCTTGTGGAGTTGAAGTCGAAGCCACGCCAGTTGGCGTTGTTGTTGTCTTGACAGAAAAATGTAGGAAAAAAGAGGATGTTGTGTGTGTGTGTGTGTTGGGTTGTCGAATGAAATAATAGAGGATTTTCGGTTGCAGTTTAGTTTTGACTGTGTCGGCTGGAGGATTAGTCAATTCTTATTGGCTTAAATATTCCGTTACCTTTTGTTTTTGTTTTCCACGGGTGGGTCCCTTGATAAAATGTGACCTTCTTGCTAGTTTCATTTTATTTTTCATATGTAGTTTGTCCATCGTCTCTAAGTATAAAGCGAACTCTATACCACCCATGGTATGTTGTGGTGTATGGTGTATTGTGATGGTAAAGTAGCATGGAATGTTTTAAGAGATGTAGTAGAAGAGATTCTCTCATGCAAGCAAGATGAAGTTTTAGTAGCGTCACTGTCGTGATTGTCACGTGTTCAAAAAGTACGTACAATATGTCTATTTTGAAGAGAATTGTGAGAAGAACAAGACTCGTGGTTTATAGCCATGAGTCCATCGTGTTTAAAGCCATCCGACGTAGTTTAAATTTTCAAAACTGCATTTTAAATTTTATAACAAAAATCAGACTTTTCGTTTGTCATCCAATTACTATCATTTTGATTTCATTTAATTTTTCTAAGGCCCTTGAGTTACCCCAAGGTTTTTAAGCCATTGCCTGGCTCCTAGTGTAATAACCTTTCATTCAATTATCAATTAACACAATCAACCCTTAGATTTCTCTCAGTTTTATGGTGAATTCCATATTTGTTCTTGGAGGGATTACGTTGGTAACCCTTTAATTATTTCGTGTTGCGTCACTTCAGACAAATTATTTTTTTATGCAGCTAATTACTTTAATGTTCTGCTTAAACACAAGTGCACAATAATAAAGAGATTTTTTAGTGTGTCAGAGTCCCGCTACACCAAGTGTAGTAATACTATTGATAAGAAACTTAAAAAATAAATTTCCAACCAATTGTATTATGAGACTTGATGTATCAAGCCGTGTTCCCATTACATAAAAAAATCTGTCTACTATACAAAGTTCACATCGTTGGGTTGCATCAGCTCTTTTTTTTTTCATTTCTTTTGGTAGGGGTTCCTTGAGGGAGTAAAAAGAGGTTTCGTATTTTAAGGGACTAAGGGCTGGTTTGGTATTGCTGTGCTTTGAAAAAAAGCTGCTGTGAAAATAAGCGGTTGTGCTGTGAGAATAAGCGGCTGTGAAATAAATCAGCATAGTGTTTGGTAAACTTTTTTGTAAAAGTGCTTTTGGAAAAAAAAGCATTCAAATAGTAGGTCTTTTCATTAAAGAAGCATTGTAGCTCCGTGTGCTTTGAAAAAAAAACCATTTTTCCAAAGCTGCAAATAGCAGCTTCAGCTTTTTCCTTTGATTTCAGCTTATTCTCACAGCAGCTTCCAAAATAAGCCTTTTTTTTCAGTTTACCAAACACCTAAAACCCTCACAGCTTTTTTTCATGGGTGCTTTTTTTTTAAGCACCTCACTACCAAACTAGGTCTAACTAGGTTATTTTCTTCTGACAAAAAAGAAAGTTATTTTCGCAAAAACATAAATTAAAAGTCCTTTTTATTTTTATTTTTTTTATAACCTAGAAAGAGTTGGTATAAGATGAGGTGGCATGTAAGTTGGTGAATAAAGCCGAAGCCGAAGCCGAAGCGTGTGGGTAGCTCAAAAGGCTTCGCTGCAAGCTGTCGGTGTCCTCCGATTTTACAAAGAACAAAATCACGAAGAATGCCCTCAGTTCTACGCTAAGCTACAAAAACACCCCCCCCCACGTCACTCTCTTAAAGCGCGCGTGTGCCGCGTGAACACACTTTTCTTTCTCCCCTCTCGTATATTATTGAAGCCTCAGACGGCAACGTTTTGTCCACTGGCAGATTGCTTGTCAACCTCATATGTACAAAAATTCCATATGTCCACATAAACAAAATGTTACTAATACGATAAGTTTTTTAATGTGCCGGGAAGAGAGCTCAGTACTACATGTCGTATATAAATGGTTGAAATTTCTTTTTTTTTCTTTTTAATTTTCCAACCAATTGTAATATATATTTAGTGTACCGGACCGTATTCCTAAGACACTAAAAAATCTCTCTACAAATGCAACCATTCTAGGGTTTCACATTTTAATAATTTGTGGTGGATTGGCAAAGTATAATATAATTTTGGACGGCACATTAGCGAGATACAAAAGTTAATTACTTTGGTAAAAGATTTATGATGGTGTAATAATTTGGTCTCTAATATGGATGTGTTTGGGTTAAATATGGCATTTGGACATGGACATGGTTGTTGATATTCTTTAAAAAGAAGAAGATTTGATGATTTAATATGCTTGTTTGTAGAGATTTCATTTCGTTATGTAAAGTATAACACAATAATTGTCAACTAGTGGACAATAATTCACAATTTAGTGACTACATTCTTTATGAAATTAAGTACCCTATTCAAAGAACCACTATGGTATAGTTCAGTGGTTATAAACGAATTTCAAACCTTTAATTCACACAATATGTTTTGGATTCGATTATTGATACTGGTGAATCACATGGTGATAGCTAAGGAAAGGTTAAAATGCCTCTATAAGTCATCGTCGGCATCCGAAAAGGTGAACTGTTGTGACGAAGCTACTAGCTGAATTATATATATATATATATATATATATATATATATATATATATATATATATATATATATATATAATACCATATTCAAGGGAAAAACAATAGTTTGTCATGTAGGCTCCTAATTTAAAGAGAGGGATTGAGAAGAACATTATACGCATCCACTATGTAAAAACATTATAAAAGAGATTATTAAGAAATTAGTTCGTACAAGGTACTAATGAGGAGTTATGTGCTTCATGCACTTTAAATGTTTTTTTCAGAATTTATTTTTTATTTTATTAAGAATTGATTTTAAAAGTGTTTTTGTTAAAAACGTTTTCAAACATTTAAAAACACTTACGAACAAGTCCAAATATACGAAAAAGGAATGGATGATTTTGCAAAGGGGTGTGATATCCACACATCCCATTTTACTTCTCACACACCTTTTTAATTTTCGACCGTCGGATCAGATGAATTGAAGAAGATCAACGGACAGAAATCATCAAAAGGTGTGTGAGAAGTAAAATGAGGTATGTGGATAGCACACCCCTTTTGCAAATTGTGAAGAGACAATCGGGTTAAAAAAAACAATTTAACCTTTTGAAGCAGGAAAGTTACCAAAGAAAAACCTTTTTTAATTTTCTAAGCACACAATGACACACCAACTATTTTGCTTAATTTTTACCCGACTTTTTCCAACTTTTGTGATGTCTCTTTTTCATCTTCCAATTGTTGTGTAACGCATAGTTGGAAAATGATTTAGCAACTTTTGATGTGTATCCTATAGTTTAATTCATATACTATCACTCGGAGGTTGAGTGTCTTCCTAATTTGGAGATAAAGTTTTTTCTTTTCTTTCTCTTATTGTTTTTTAATTTATGGGTCTAATGATTGGGGAAAAAGAAGATATAGAGTGGAGTTGCCATTAGAGTTATGCACCCCTCTTTACTTTGGGAATAAGTTTTCATCTAAATTTGTAAGCGTTGGATTTCTCTGGTGAATAAGATATATTTCTTCTTCCTACTGTAAATTGAATAAACATATCGCTTGTATTCAAAAAGTAGTTTTCATCGTCATTTAGTATTATAGTCTAATGGTATTCCTCTTCATTTGTAACTTGTAAGTGAGAGGTTTTAAGTTTGATTTTTGCCAAAGGCAAATTTGAACCACATTATTGCTAACCCATTGTGAGACTAAGCTCATCCCCTCTTTTTAATGTAGCTAATATTGTTTGTTCAAAAAAAAAAAGTTAGTTTTCATCTGAGCTTCAAAATGGTAGTGACCACTATGTCTCTAAATCTAACAATATTTATGATGAACATGTAGACCAAGAATTATTTCAAAAATGTATAAAACAAAGTGTTGTTATTACGTTTTCGGTTTGTTTCATGGATGAATCATGATATTGTTTGAGCTTTTAATGCAAAATGAAAATGTATTCCACACGATACGTTCTAAGCTCGATTTCTAGCACTGGTGACTCACACGATGGTGACTAAAGGAACGCTAAAATGTCTTTGTGAGTCTTCTTGGCCCTTAGAAGGGTGGACTGCCGTGATGAAACCATCAACTATTCTTTTCTTTAAAAAAAAAAAAACATTTCTTGGTCCACAATATTGGTTTGAACCATGTTTTCCGACCACATTTATAAGCTACATGATGTGACGGTTCATGGTCAGATTATTTTTCAATACTTAAAAAATAGTCAAACCATCAGCCGTTACATCATATGATATACAAACTATGTTTCCAGTAATTTCAATTTTTAGCTCCTTGGATGCTATGGTCTCAATATGGCACAAGCAAAGGTACTTCATTTTAATATTGTACATATATAGTGAAGGTTAATGAGGAATTGGTTGGGGTCCTTTGGTCCCCGTTGAAACTTTGTCGTGTTTCTAATTAACAATACATGGATATTGTTATTATTATATATTAATAATTTAGAAATTGATATTAGCACTTTAAAAATTTCATTGGCACTTCAAACTTTCTATAATTAGAAAGAAAAATACATTTGTGAGGAGTGTAAAATGTGATTTTTGAGTGCTAATAACAATTCCCAATACTTTTTGTGAACTGATTAATGCACACAGATTTTCTCTTTTTTCACATCTTAAGTATACTGATGATGACCATTTATTATGAAAAATATTATTAGCACTTCAAAAATCTCATTTTCAATTATGAAGCCACATGGAAACTAGGGTAGTCTAGGGCCCAT